AAGCCGGAAGTGGTGCTGTGGCTCAAGTGGTAGAGCGCTAGCCTTGAGCTGAAGAGCTGAGGGACAGCGCCCAGGCCCAGAGTTCAGGCCCCACAACCAGACCCAAAACAAAAACAAAAACAAAAAATTAAACATAGGGCCAAGAATGTGGCTTAGCAATAGAGTGCTTGCCTAGCATAAGGGCCTGGGTTTGATTCCTTGGTACCACATAAACACAAAATAAAATTAATTAAAAACACTCATGAACAAGTTCAGAAAAAGAAATTAAACATAATATACTAAAAATTAAAAATTCTATAGACTCAGTATTCCTTCTTCTAGGTAATATATCAAAGTATTTAAAGCAAAGATTAAGATATTTAGGCATTCATATGCATTGTGAATTTACACAAATTGACTAAAGTCATATAAAGCCAACTGTCCATTGACAAATGAATGGATACTTCCAATGTGGCCACACCCACAATGGAGTACTATTTAGCTTTAAAAAGGAATTCAGAGCTGGGTGCTGGTAGCTCATGCCTGTAATCCTAGCTCCTCAGTAGGTTGAGATATGAGCATTGAGTTTTGAAACTAGCCCAGGCAAGAAAATCCGTGAGATTTTATCTCCAATTAACCAGCAAAAAAGCTGGAAGCAGAGGTGGAGCACCATCTTTGAACTCAAGACCCTAAGTTCACATGGAATTCTGACATATGCTACTTCATTGCTGAATCTTGAACACATTATTACATTATGTTAAACAAAGTGAGCCAAACCCTAAAGGACAAATATTGTATGAATCTATTTATAGGAGTTACCGGAGAAGTTAATTTACAAAGGCTAAAAGTACAGCAATGAGTAGCAGAGGCAGGAACAGAGAGAGATATAGACAGAAAGATACTGTGTTAAGGCTACAGACTTTCTGTTTATGACAAGGTTCTGGAGAAGGAGGGCGTGATGACTTCATAACAATGCAAATGTACCTAATGCCAATGAGGTACACATTTAAAAATGGTTAAGATGGTAAATTTTATGTTATTCTTACTATTTTTAAAGACAAGGTCTTCCCATGTGGCCCAGGCTGCATCAAACTTGAGATTTTCTTGCCTCAACTTCTCAAATGCTGGGAAGATGGGCAATTGCTACTATACCTACCTTGTTATAAATGTTTTACACAGAATTAAAGGGAGAAAGGGAGAAGAGAGAGAACACAGGCAGACTGGCTAACTTCAGGGCACAGACAAAGTTGGTATCTTTCTTATATCTTTGAGTAAATGGTAAGAATTAAAACAATATTTGCTGATTAGTTTTTTCCCCCACAACTATATTCTATTTCTGTACTCCTTGAATTTAGGTATAATTTATTTGTCTTCATCCACAAAAGATTTGAAGTTGTTAAATTCTTTGTGAGCTTGGTGTTGGTGGCTCACACCTGTAATCCTAACTACTCAGGAGGCTGAGATCTAAGGATGGAGGTTCAAAGCCAGACTGGGCAGGAAAGTCCTTAAGACTCTTACCTACAATTCACCACCAGAAAACCAGAGGTGGAGCTGTGGTTTAAAGTGGTAGAGCGCTATCCTTGAGCACAAAAGCTCAGGGTCAGTTCTCTGTCCCTGAGATCAAGCCCCATGCCAAAAAAGAAAAAAAAAAAATCAGAGAGTTAGGTGTGGTAGTACACAATTTAATTCCAGTACTCCGAAAATGGAAGCAGGCATTATTGCAAGTGTTTAAAGGCTAGCCTGGGCTACATAGTAATAAAATAAATCCATACATTGATGATACAATTAAAGCAAGAACTAAAAGAAAAATAGAGCTGAAGGCATGGCTTAAACATCTGTGTGGTAATTGCAACGCTCTGGGTTCAATCTACATTATTGTCAGAAAAAGCAAGAAAGTGCTGTGTACTAGTAGCTCACGCCTACAATCCTAGCTATTCAGGAAGCTGACAGCTGAGGATTGCAATTCAAAGCCAGCCCAGGCAGGAAAGTCACTGAGACTCTTATCTCCAATAAACCACCAGAAAACCAAAAGTGGTGCTGTGGATCAAAGTGGCAGAGCATTGGTCTTGAGCTTAGAAAAAGCTCAGGGATAGCACCCAGGCCCTGATTTCAAGCCCCACAATTGAAAGGGGAAAAAAAGCACAAGCAAGCCCCTTTACTATTTGTCTTTCTTGCCCCTTCCCCCTTGGTCATTGTGATGATGGCCACAGATCCAGTCACTAGGCAGCTCTGTCAGGCCTTACCGTTAGTCTCTGAGCTTTCTCTTCCCCAGGGCTCAAGCCTTTTCTTACACAAGCTTTCTTCTAAGAAACCACATGCTTTGGCCATTGACCATCCCTTGCTCTGACTCCCAGACAAGGAAGAAGCTGCTTGTTTATCCTCAGGTTGCTAAGCAAATGGTTAGACACATGAAGTGCACATTAGCAGCACAAAACTCCCTCTGGCAGCTTTTCTCAGAGATGAGACTAAGCGATCTTTCCTCTCGTAGGGGAAGTCTCCATTCGCACAGAGTTAATTAAATAAGGGGTATTTAGAGATTAATTAAAGGACACAACTTCCTTAGCAACCATTGGATACACAGTAATTTCTAACAACAGCTCCTCCCTCTTCCTATTTATCTGTCCCTCGGTTCTCTCTTGCCTTTCCATTCCTCTCTTTCTCTCTCCCTCCCTGGCTCCCTCCTTCCTTCTCCCTCCCTCTTCCTTTCTTTCATTGTTTCCTTAAAGGGACATCCTCTTTCCTGCTATGGACCCCACTTTCTAAACTATACCTTTGAAAGCATATGGAATAAATTACAGCATATTCTGGCAAAGGATAACGTGTAAGAGATGTGTAAGGAGTAAGAATGAAAAAACTCTCTGGACTAAAATGGAACAATTGCTGGCAAGGGCAGAACGCATCACATACTCTGACCCCAGAGTGTGAAAAAGGGAAAAGGACACACACACACACACACACACACACACACACACACGGGTACAAGTTTAGAGTGACATTTCATATGGTGTAAAAATATTACTCATTCAGAACAAACACTCTAATCTCATGAATCTAATGAAGTAATTATAAAGAAATAATGTTTCTCCTGCCAAGCACAGAACAAGGCCCTGTCCTTCCATGCAAGATGCTGGCCTCGGCTGGGGGGGGGGGGAGGGTGGGATTGGCTTCAGGGGCTTGCAAAGGCCCTTTCACCAACAATGGCTCAGGGCAGGGAACCCTTGACTGGTTTATCAACAAGAAGCTGGGGATGTAGCGTCTGGGAAAGGTCAAGGTAGAATGGGCCTGAGGCTCTTCAAGGGTCTTCTAAGCCTTGCAACCACCCAAAGCCCCATTCTTTTCTTAGGGTCAGTGTGTCTGTCCCAAGTGTCGTTCAGTGGATCTGCAATGGCACAAGGCTTGGTTATCCAAGGTTTGTCCCTGTATGGTGGGAGATGGCTGGGACAGGTAGATTGTGATCATGGGGAGTTGAGCCCTATTCCCTACTCTGACTTGTGAGATTCCAGCCTCTTAGCAGGAGCCATGGGAAGACGAGACATTAGGTAAAGGGCAGAAGACCTGAGAAGAGCCTCTTGCCCCATTGTGGGCCTCAGTTTCTTATGGTTTGAAAGCCCTACTTTCAAATAGTGTGGAGGCTGGCATGGGTAACTATCAAGTAGTGTGCACACACACTAACAGTGCCAAGAACTTGCTCTGACACATGTCCGATTGCTTAACAATCTTGTTCATGGGTAAAGCAACTCCAGAAGCTATGAAGTTTCCAGTATCTGGAATCTGATCTTTATTCAAAGAAGACAAGGTTCTGCTACACATTCTTCATCACCACTCCTCCTCCCTCATTCTGTGGAAATGTTAATTCTCATACCAGGCCTTGGGTAGCTTCTTGCTCTCCATCTTGGAGGAGAAATGGCCCTGAGTTCTGCCCAGAGGGTTGCAAGAACCCCTACCCTAGAGGGTGAGCAGTAAACCACAGGAAACTGTGACTGGCTCTGAGAACGTGTCATTTCCTACTTCTGAAGAAACCCAGAGAGGTGACTCTACCCATGGAGGGACAGGAGTGAGTGGAAGGGAAGACAGCCCTTGACGGCTGCCTTTCAGGTTCTCTGATGCCTCTGATTACACAGATTCACACCCTTCCCAATTCTGTCCTGGGCTAAGATGGAGTCTGTGTTAATTTTGAGGAAAGACAGAAGGCAGATGAAGCCCAGTGAAGAAATAAAGGAACCTAGAGGCCAAAGCAGTTACCTAGGCTCTTATAGGCTAACTGTTTGGACAAGGATCCTTCCAGAAAGCTCTTCCCTGCCTCTGAATCCCCAGCTCTCTGAAGGCCTCTTAGAAGCCACCATCATGCTCCTTTCCCTTGGACAGGGAAGATAAAGAACAGACCCAAGTCCACACTAGATCCAGTCTTTCTGCATCCCAAGCTTGGCTGATCCAGCGACTAGAGAGAATGGTGAAGGGAGGTGGCAAGGTATGGAGAGGAGCAGAAAGAGGTAGAGGTGGGTTGGTAAAGAAGGTTAAGTCCAGCTGATCCTTTTCCTGAATAGTCCAGGGAGTTACTGCAGTTTAACTGGGAGAGTCCTGGGCCAGAGAGGAGTTAGTCTGGGTACTGGAGATTCAGATGGATTGAGGGAGGATGACTAATTAGACATGCTTTTTTTTTTAGTGGTACTGGTACTGGGGCTTGAACTCAGGGTTTAGATGTTGCTCGAGTTATTTTGCTCAAGGCTAGTGCTCTACCACTTGAGCCACAACTCTACTACTTCCAGCTTTTTTTGGTAGTTCATTGGAAATTAGTCTCAGAGACTTCCCTTCCTGGGCTGGCTTCTAACATGGTCCTCACATCTCAGCCTCCTGAGTAGCTAGGATTATAGGCATAAGACACTGGTCCCTTGCTTAGACATGTTTTAAGATACGAGAGGCCCATTGAAGAATGACGAGCTTAGCCCAATGCTGGTGGCTCAGGCCTATAGTCCTAGCTACTCAGGAGGCTGAAGATTGCAGTTCAGAACCAGCTGGGGCAGGAAAACCTGTGATACTCTGATCTCCAATTAATCACCAGAAAACTGGAAGTGGAGTTGTGGCTCAAAATAATCAAAATAGTCAAGCAAAAAGAGCTCAGAGACAGTGCCCAGGCCCTGAGTTCAAATCCCATGACTAACTAAAAAAAAAAAAAAATGAAGCTCTCTTAAAATCGAGTCTCCTTGTGTGCCAGGAGCTGGTGGCTCACACCTGTAATCCTAGCTACTCGGGAGGCTGAGATCTGAGGATCATGGTTCAAAGCCAGCCCAGGCAGGAAAGTCCATGAGACTCTAATCTCTAATAAACCAATAGAAAGCTAGAAGTGGTACTGTGGCTCAAGCAGTAGAGCACTTGCCTTGAGCTGAAGAGCTGAGGGACAGCACCCAAGCCCAGAGTTCAAGTCCCACGACCGACAAAAAAATAAAAAAAAATAAAAATAAATCCAGTCTTCTTAGGACACACCGTAGGAATGTGTAGAACTTTAAGCTGGGGAATGGGGAGAGGCTCATATGTGGAATGGGGTATAGTTTGGGCAGGTATTTGGGGAGAGTTTTGGTTTCTGGGCAAAGTCAAACTAGAGAAATATGCAAGAGTTATTAACTTTCTGAAAGTTAGTTCTTCTTTGAAGATAAACACCCAACATGCCCAGACCACTGGTGGGCCTGTCACTCACCAGTCCCAGAGGTAAAGCCAGGCTGCTGGAAGTTGTAGTTCTTGATTTCACCATACCATCTATCAGCCACCTCCTGTCCTGTACGGAAAAGGCAGGGTTCTGAACTCAGTAACAAAGTCCACAGACAACCTCTTCCCTTTATTTATCTCCATAAACTCCAAACCATCCATCCCACAACTGGACATCTGATAAAGTGCCAATGAGTAGGTACATTTGGTTGTGTATGTGAGAGGCCCTGTAGACTTGTAGGAAATTATCCTCTATGAGCTTGACCAGACTGAAGAGAGACTGTGTGGGGGTTGGCAAGAGCACTGGCCTGGGATCAAGAGTTCCAGGAGCAGGGGACTTGCATGAGCATCCCTGCTATCCACTGACTTGCTGTGTGGTCCTGGAGAAAACCACCCCCCTCCCTAGGCCTCTAAAGAAAGGGTCACTCCAAGAACCTTAGACTGATGCTCTGGGAGATTCTGTCCCCATCCTACACCATGCCTGCCTCCTACAATGCTCACAGGAAGAAAGGTGACTGACTGACAAGATTAGCAGACCAAAGATTTTCCAGGACGAAGAGCCCTTACTGGTCCTAAAGGTAAGCATTTACGTACAGAGAAGCATTTCCCTAGCAGCTACTGAGCTCAGGGACAGAGGCAGGAGGAACCTTAACCTAGGGGGAGTAACTCTCAAGTTTTAATGTGGGCATTAGTCACCTGGGGTCTTGTTAAGACACAGCTGTGATTTTAGTAGGCGTGGGGAGGAGCCTATGAGCCCAGATTTCCAGCAACTTCCCCAATGCTATACAAGTGGTTTATGGAACACATATCAGCCTCATGAGGGCCATTTAAAACAAACCTGAGCCTGGGTCCTTCCTCAAATCCACTGTGTCAGTTTCTCTGAGAAAAGACCTGGGCATTAGTTTTTTTATTTTTATGTTTTTGCTGGTCCTAGGGCTTGACTGAACTCAGGGCCTGGGCACTATTCTTGAGCTTTTGTGTGTAAGGCTAGCTAGCATTCAAGCCACAGCTCCACTTCCAGCTTTTTGTGGTTAATTAGAGTTAAGAGTCTCATGGACTTTTCTACCCTAGCTGGTTTCAAACTGCAATCCTCAGATCTCAACCTCCTGAATGGCTAGGATAAACGCTCTTCAAAAGATTTGAGTGTGCAGCCAGGGTGAGGTATCCAATCTCTCTCTAATGAGATGGGGGAAACTGGGGCCAGAGACTTGATGTAATCCAAGGCTAGAATGGAACATCTCCCAAGTTCCAAGTGAGACTCTTTGCATTCCAAACCCTTCTCCCTAGCCCACAAGGCCACAGCCGGGGTCAGGAGGAGCCTGGACCCACAAGGCCACAGCCGGGGTCAGGACGCTGATGGCAAGGCCTCAGAAGGGGCTGCTGCCTTTTTCAGCACAGGCCCAAGCCTCTACTGCAGGGAGGGGGCCCTGGCTGTGCTAGGGGAGCTCCCCCTTCCCCCTCCCCCCAGGGAACTCCCAGGAATGTGAGGCTGGAGAGGAAGTGCGTCATCGTCCAGCTGGGATTTAGTAAGAGTTTCAGTGAGTGAGACAATTTCCTGACATTTTTTCCTAAAAAGCCAACTTCAGGGCTGTCGGAGCCAGACAGCTTGAGAAAGTTTGCTCAGGGTATAAGAACATTTTGCTTGAGATCTTGGATGGAGGAATTGTTTTCCATTTGATTTCCAAAATGGAAAAAGCCTTACTTCTTTACCTTAATTATGAAAGGTAATATCCCAGCACTACAGTGTTTGGGGGTGGGGGGAAATGGAGAAAGATGTTCACAGTAGCCAGGATTGGTCTGAAAGCCTCAGAATCAGGCTGAAACTGTCCAGATCCTCTGTCTCCTCCGCCCTCACCCCTCAGCCTGGGAGCTTCTGAAGTGGGACGCTCAGTCTGACTCATCTCTGTCCCTGGCTCCCAGCGCTTGGCTGGCTCTGAACTGAATTCAGCCTGGGAACAGACTCACACAATTGTTGGTTTTTTCCCCCTTTCTGGACTTGCAACTACTCCATGGCTAAGCCAGACAGAGCACTGGACCAGGGAAGGTCTATGGAGGTCACACGTTAAGTTCAGGTTGGGCAGACAGGAGGAAAGCAGAGAAATACCCACCTGTCTGATCATAGGATGCCCATGCTAGATTCTCCCCACACTGGCCACGACTCGACTCTGGGCTGTGTTTGAGGATCCTTGTGCTGGCCAGGGCCTCTGAATACCTGTCGGAATCCATGGTGTTTTCTCAATGTGGGTCCAGGGAACCTCTGAGCTCTGAGCAACTCAGAGCTGCAATATCTAGGTAGTCCTCCCTTGCCAAGGCTCTTGGAGGAAATAGGGGAGCATCACATTTTCATGGCTTCTGCCCCCCCCCCCAGGGGCCCATTTTACAGGGGAATGCATTGAGGCACAGAGGAACAAGAGACCTGCTTGGGCAAATGGCATAATAATATTCAAGCCTGGCTGTATCTGACCCCCCAAATGCAGACCCTGAGAAGGGTCTGAACCCCTGGGAAGCTGGGAGACTCACTGCTGAGCCTCTCGGTTGAGCTTCTTGGAGAGCTTCAGTGGGGGGACTCCATGCTGCCGCCGGTACTCATTGTGGGCCTTTAGGACTTCATTATTAAACTCTTTGGAAGCTAAAAGAGGACAAGACAGAGAATAGCTCAGTACAGAGGAAAACACTCCCTCAAAGTCAGAGCAATGCCTAGCTCAGACTTCAGGCCACACAACAGACTTCTCTCCCCTTTCTGGCCTCAGAACCCTTGTCAAATGGCCTTGTCCCACACCATGGCTCTTCATATCTTCATCCCAGATAGCATCCTGCAGGTTGAAAGGCCTTGATTTATATGGAACCTTCTGGCCTTTGTTGGGGATTTGAGACTTTATTGAAGGCAATGGGAAGCCACTGAATGGGGGCAGGGGGAAGAGTTGGTTAGATCTGTGTTTCTGAGATACTCTGAGGGCTGCTGAATGAGGCATGGGCAGGAAGTAGAGAGCAGATGTTGGGGGACTGGACGAATCAGCAACAGGACTTCTGAAAGGAAATGTCAGAGGGAGACTAGATATACCAGGCTAGGAAGGGCTGGATTTGGGAGCCCAGAGAAGCAGCCTGGCTGGGGTGGATGGAGCTCACTCAGGGCTTTATAATAATAGAGTGACAGGTAAAGAAAAGAGGACTTAGGAAGGGTAAGGAGGAGGGGAAGGGGAAGGCGGCAGTGGGGAAGTGGAGTAAGGAGAGTACGGGACCATGTGGTGATTGGGGGCGGGAATGATCAGCTGTGGCTGCAGTGAGGGAAGAGGTTAACCAGTGCCCAACTGCATTATGAACTCAGAAAAGATGAGGTCAGTGGGGGTTGGGGCCAGGGAAACAGTGGGTAAAGGCAAGGGCAGGCAAGGTGACATACCAATTTTCGTTTGAAATGAGACCTTATTCATTCAGCATCTCCTCTACTCAATTGTCCAGTTCATTCCTTCATCAATCCTTCTATGTAAGTATCAATCATCAAACATCCCCTTTCCTCCATCCATCCACATCAACATCTATATCTCATCCAACATCATCCATCCACTGATTCATCATTTGTTCAGCAGCAGTACCACTACATCCATTCTCTGAACACCACTTGAATGCTAGGACTCCAGAGACCAATCGACCATGTCTTGCCCCAAAGCTCACACACAGAAGGCAGGCAGCCTGGTAAGCAGACAAAAACAGAGCTTTGTTCCAAAGCTCACATACAGAAGGGAGACAGCCTTGTAAACAGACAATAACAGGTAAGAGCCACCATGCCGGTAAACATGTATGAAGACTTGGAAGAAGAGTGGCCTAATAAGATCTTGGGGGTCAGGAGACAAATGACTCCTGATTTGAGAATCGAAAAATGTTAGAAGATAGGAGCTAGCCAGGCTAAGATTATGAAGGCACTTGCCTTCCACGTTAGGAATCTAGGAGTCTCCTCTGTGGTTAGGGGTAGGGCGGAGGGGTAGGATTCTGAGTGAGGGCCATACTTGGTTGGTCCTGTTTGACCAGGAACTTGTCATTTGAGTACTGGCTGTGGGTGGTGGCAGGAAGGGTGTCAACAGGGCCAAGAAGGAAGTGCCACAATCCTTCCTGTGCCCCAGGTCATGTTCACCAGGGCTTTTCTTTTCTTGGGTGTTTTTACCCAAAAATGGGTCCTCTTCAATCTCATGACCAGACCCCATCTCCTGGGGTCTTCAAGGAAATGCCTAGAAATCCCTAGTGGGAGCCCAAGAGGAAGGACATTAGGGTATACCCTCCTTCCCATCCCCACAGAGCTGAGGGCTGGCTGCGGTAGAGGGGAAGAGTTGTGCCCAGGGCACAGGGAAGTGGAGGTGTCCAAGGACTTTGACAAAGAAGAAGTGCCCAGCCTTGAGATCTCTGAACCTATGGTGTTCTAGAATGGGATGCAGGGGTGACAGGGAGGGGCTTTGAATCCAGATCTGTGAGGTAAGAACGGAGAAGAGACTGAGGTAAAGATAACGAGGCTTCAGGCAGGTTCTCAGGTGCAGGTGGCCAGAGATGGGCTCCACCCTTGTTGATATGAAAGACAAACTGTTCAGATCTTCTAGGGGTGGGAGGCAGAAGGAGTGGTTTACTGAGTACAGTTTTGACTTTACAAGATGTTTCACCTCACGGTGGATATACCTAACACCACTGACAATGCATTTACATCCGGTTAAGATGATATGTTTCATGTATACTTTTTTGGCTTGTCCTGGGGCTTGAACAAAGGGCTAAGACACTGTATCTGAGCTTCCCTTGCTCAAGGTTAGCACTGTACCACTTGAGCCACAGCACCATTTCTGGTTATATAGTACTGAGGAATCGAACCCAGGGCTTCATGCATCCTAGGCAAGCACTTTACCACTCTACCACCAAGCCACGTTCCAAGTCCTCATGTATACTTTTGATGTTTGCCATGTGAAGGTATTTAGGACGATGTGAACCAATGGGGTCCATTTGTCCTGCACCCCAGGGCGCTGTAGGCCCTGCAATGTCCTTGGCCAGTAAGGACAGACACAAAAGCCTGCCACCAGGAAGGTGGCTTCGTGGTAGAGTGCTTGCATGAAGGCCTGGGTTCAACTCCTCAGTTCCACATAAACACAAAAAAGCACCAGAAGTGGTGCTGTGGCTCAAGTGGTAGAGTGCTAGCTTTGAGCAAAAAGAAGCTTAGGGACATTGCCCAGGCCCTAAGTTCAAGCCCCAGGACTGGCAAAAAAAAAAAAAAAAAGGCTGCTGGAAACTAGGTCACTGCATTTCCAGTATGAGAGACGTCAGAAGGAACAAAAGTGAAAGTTTGTATTCAGCCAGACTCGGAGACTCTGAGCTCAGAGACCAAGTTGGCTGTCCCTGGCCCAGCCGGGTCATCATTTCCCCTCACACCCCATCTCCTCCTCTGTGGCCGCTACCCCACAAAGGCACAGGAAATCCTACCATGGGGAGTAGGGGAGCCCTCTCTCACCTTGCTGGCTGGGAGCAAGGGGGCCCCATACTTCTCCCTCGGGGAGTTCCAGCCTCTCCACCCAACACAGCAGGCAGTCTCAACCCAAAGACACAAGTTATCAATGTCAACCACACCCAGCAAGAGGCACACCCTACTTCTGTAGATCATTCAAGAACACAGATAAAGGTAAGGGGGAAAGTAAGAGAAAACCCTTCTAGCCTAGGGACCTCAGAGAAGGCCCTTGGCCACCACAGGATGGGGGAGTGCAGGGCAAAGGGAGGCTCCGCAAAGTCACAACCACTCAGAGTGCCTGCCAGAGAAGGAGGCAGGCCTATCTGCCCCTGCCTTCTCCTATTGGCTGGCCAATCACATCTGCTGCAGGGCCTGTGTGTGACCTCATTAACTTCGTATCATCCATATTCTATGGAGCTTTCACTATCATACTTGCTTATGTTGTTATGTTTTATACTGTTATGACTAGGAAACTGGGGCATGAGGGAACGTCAATGCCCAGATTCTCCCACTAGTGGAAGAGTACCCCTACCCTCACAGCCAAAGAGTCATCAGACAAAGCATGACAGAGGGGTCACCTAAGAAATGACTCTCTGGTGACAGACGAGGACAGCAATAAGATAGAGATACCAGGTTAGCAGCTGCCTACTGGAAGAGTCTTCAAAGGGAGAAAAGAGGAAGGAAGAAAAGCATTAAGGGGCTGGAAAGGTGGCTCAGAGGTAGAGTGCATGCCTCACATGCATGAGGCCCTGGGTTCCATTCCTCAGCACCCCATAAACAGAAAAGGCCGGAAGGCACTGTGGCTCAAGTGGTAGAGTGCTAGCTTTGAGCTGAAGAGCTCAGGGACAGGGCCTAGGCGTAGCGTTCAAGACCCATGATCAACCAGAAAGAAAGAAAGAAAGAAAGAAAGAAAGAAAGAAAGAAAGAAAGAAAGAAAGAAAGAAAGAAAGAAAGAAAGAAAGAAAGAAAGAAAGAGAAAGAAAGAAAGAAAGAAAGAAAGAGAAAGGAAGGAAGGAAGAAAGAAAGAGAAGAAAAGAAAAGAAAAGAATTAAGATTTCGAAGTGTCTTCTCTGTGCCCAGAATCTCAGATCTGCCTAGCGTTCAAGACCCATGATCAACCAGAAAGAAAGAAAGAAAGCAAGAAAGAAAGAAAGAAAGAAAGAAAGAAAGAGAAGAAAAGAAAAGAATTAAGATTTCGAAGTGTCTTCTCTGTGCCCAGAATCTCAGATCTGGACCTGCCCAAGGGGAACTGACAAGTCAGGGACTGTACTACAGAAGTGAGCAGGGACTCCCTGGGAGTGCTGGAAAGGTGCAGGACACAGGTATCCTAGGGTTCTTGGCCCTTTAAGGGCCTGAGTTTCTAATGCTAATTGGACTCACCAGGATTCTGCCTCACCACTCCCTGCTTTTGGTGGAGACAGGCTCCCCATCAGGCTCCCCATCCTCTTCAGAGGCTTCCTTATAGCATTCCTCCACCCTCCCCAGAGGCTCTACCAAAGAGGTCATGGCAGTCCAAGCCAGGGCAGGGCTATGGATAGGTAGTTCCCTTTGGCTAGCAGCTAGAAAGAAGTCAGGTCTTGCCTTTGGAACAAAGTTGGTTTTATTTGGCTATAAGGCAACTGAACGATTTCCATTTCCCCCCAAACTAACAAGAACAGTAGAAAAGAAGGCATATACTGGTAGCTCAGGCCTGTAATCTAGCTACTTAGGAGGCTGAGATCTGAAGATTGTGGTTTGAAGCCAATCAGGACATAACCACCAAAAGCTAGAAGCGGAGGTGTGGTTCAAGTGGTAGATTTCTGGGAATTCAAGAGGTAAAAATCTCACTCCGCCTTTCACTAGCTGTGTGTTTAATCCCTCGGTGTTGCTTCACAGGGCTCCCGTGAGGAGGCTTAAGTGAATTCACCTATGGAAAAGCTTTAGAACTGTTTTAGAACACCGTGAAGTAGTAGAATATCAACTCTTCTAGATGCAGAAGCTCTTTAGCCTCTGGCTTAAGGTCTTTTTTAAGGGAAATGTGGAGGCTAATCATATTTAAATTGCTCTTTAAGCCAGGTACAAAAGTGCTTGTTAGTAATCCCAACTCTTAAGGGGTGGAGGCAGGAGGATGGATGGAGACCAAGAATTCAAGGCCAGCCGAGAAGGCTGTTTGATAACAAAATGGGATGTGAAGGCAGTTTTCAGCACTTCCAAGCTGGGACATTAAGGGAATGAGTGAGTGAGTGAGTGAATGAAAGAACCGATGAATGAGGTTCTTACATGGGCACAGTAAAGGTCCTAGAGCAGAATTCCTTTCCTTGCTACAAAGAGGAAATCAATGTCTGGGGCCGTTTGTGAATGGCCTCAGGTCATCCAGTGAGTTCTCATTAGAGCCAGAGCTAATTTATACTTTCACCCCCACTTCTGCCCCCAATCTTGCACACTTGCACTGCACATACGGCTCCTCTTTTCCTAATGGCAAGAACAGATCATGAAGATTGCTCAATTGCCTATGGGAACAGGAATCTACTTCCTAGGAGAATAGCCTTTCTCCAAGCCTCTCACTCTCCTTGGACAGCTGAAGGACTCAGGGCAGAAAAGAGCCAGCTCAGGCCACTCCAGCTCTGCTGGTTCCACTCAGGCCTGCCCAGAGGCCAGGCCCCGCTCCTGAACCAGAGGGTCCCCATCTGCGTTCCAAGAATGACAGCTGTGGCTTTCAAAATACCTTTAATGCAAGGAAACTCTTTTCTTTGAACAGATGGAAGCAAACTGCTAGGGTAAAACAGGCCCACACAACCTCTTATTTCAGAGGACCCAGGGGCCTCAGTCAGAAAATTCCTGGCTAGTTACTATAGTCCGTAGAAGCCTGCTCTGATCTCTCCATGCTAGATGTCTCCAGAAACAGGAAGACTCTTAGAGACAATTAGAAGAGTATGTGGAAGATCCCACTGGCCAGAGACCAAAGATCGGAGGACATGGGTAGTCTGGTAGAGAAGCACTGGGTTCAAATCCCAGTTTGTTCACATACTGGTTAAAGTGAGCTCTGTACATCTGGAGATGAGAGGATATTAAGACTTGTTACAAAGTTTGGTGATATAAAATGCCAGAGCTTAATGATAGGCAATCATTATTATTAGGAACAAGAGGTTTCCATTGGAGCCCAAGGCACCGTGGCCAGGTAGGGAAGCCAGACCTACTGAGAGCAAGACCTGGGGTCTTCTGACGTGGGGCAGAGCTGCTTCTGGGCTTTGAGCTGCATCTGTGGTGCGATAATCTTACAGCAATGTCTGCTGCTCTACACAGCTCTGGAGCAAAGAGTCGTCCTACTCCTGTGTAGTGAGGAGAGATCAGGCCCCAAGAGACAGGAACTGATTCCTTCTGGTGGCCTTTTTGGAGGCACATAGTGTCCCTGTGTGGACACAGCTCTGTGAGCGACCTCCTGCCTGTGAGGGCAGCAGTCCAGGTTGGAGACCTAAAACTTCGAGGTTGGGCTTGTGCTGTAAAGGTTCAGTTAGTCCAGGTCACACAGACAAGTCACTTTTGTTTCTTAGGGACCCTTAGAAGAGCTGGCCATGATCCTAGAAGTTCAGTCTTATGAAGAGAACCAAAAGTACATGTTGTTATGAGGGAGCTAGTCTAGAAATGTATTTCTAGAAGATTCCTGGGTTTGGGGGGAAGAGGAATGGTTCTTTAATCAACCAACTCCAACTGCTTCTGGCATGGGTCCCCTTTCCCTCTGAAACTAGCCCGCCCTGTACCTGCAGTCCCAACAGCATCGCTGCCATCCCGGACGCACACCCGGCCTCTGACCCTTCCCTTCCATTCACAGCAAGCTGTCAGCAAGCCTACTAGAAGCCACCAGCAGGCAAAGCCACTTCTTTCTTCCTCTTTAGAAAGCCTGTGTCTGTAACCGTGAGAGTCTTCCATCCCCCACCTCCATCCTCTCCCTTTCAGTTGCTTTTCTCCCTGGCACAGTTCTAGTTTTCTTTTCTTTTCTTTCTTTCTTTTTTTTTTTGGTCTGTCCTGGGGCTTGAACTCTGGGCCTGGGCACTGTCCCTCCGCTCTTCAGCTCAAGGCCAGTGCTTTACCATTTGAGCCACAGCACCACTTCTGGTGGAGATAAGAGTCTCACAGTTTCCTGCCCAGGTTGGCTTTGAACTGTGAATCTTAGATCTCAGTCTTCTGTGTAGCTAGGATTACAGGCATGAGCCACGGGTGCCCAGCTCGCTGGCACAGTTCTAGTGCTGATGTGCTGGATGGCACCCCAGACATGCACCCATAAGATAAAACCCAATTTCCCAAGATCTTCTTTTATTTATTTATTTTTTTTTGGGTCCAGTCGTGGGGCCTGAACTCTGGGCCTGGGTGCTATCCCTCAGCTCTTCAGCTCAAGGCTAGCGCTCTACCACTTGAGCCACAGCGCCACTTCCGGCTTTTTTCTTTTTGCTTATGTGGTGCTGGGAATCGAACCCAGGGCCTCAAGCATACAAGGCAAGCGCTCTACCACTGAGCAACCTTCCCAGCCCCTTTCCCAAGATCTTCTGGGATCAATCACCTCTTCAAAAAGTCTTTGATGGTCCGTCAGAGAGGAGACACATCCTTCCCCTTTGCAAGTTCTACACTCTGTACAAGTGCATGCATGATCTCTTCTCACCTCTTACTCCTCACCCCAAACAGCTTCTTAAAAACTCAGTTCACAATCTAAGTGAATACTCCTAAAGACAACAGATATCCACAGCTTGATACAGAGATAACTGATGAGGGGTGGAAAAGTAGAATAGACAGAGTAGCATATTCTAGAAAACTGTATGATGGAAGAAGCCAGTAATAACTGATTAAAACATAGCTTTAGAAGCTGGGAAAAGTGGGGTAATTCTACCTTCTTGAGATATGGAGACTGGTAGGCCAACTGGGGGAAAACTCATGACACTCCATCTCTACCAATGGCAGAGCACAATGGTACATGTCTGACATCCCAATAAAGCACAAATAGTAGGATCACAGTCCAAGCCTGATCAGGAATAAAGTAAGACTGTACTCAAAAGTAACAAACACTAAAAGGCTGGCAGAGTGGCTCAAGTAGAGTGTCTGCCTAGCAAAAGCACAGAACTCTGTGTTCAAATCTCAGTACTGACAAAAAGAACAGAAAAGAAAGCATGTAGCTTTCAAGATTTTCTTCTAAATTTATAGAGAAAAGAGTTGATTTCTCAAGTGCAATCTCAAAGTGCTTTCTCACGTCTGCCACAGTTTGCCCATCACCACCTATCATCCTATTCTTCTACAGTACAAGATCATATGGACCATTGTTAAGATGGGGAAATAGGCATGGCAATGGAAAGAGCCCTGCATCATATAGCAAGTGGTTAACAGGCTAAAATGCTAAGCATATTTATCAGTAGAACCCAAAGTAAGGCAGGTGAGGACCAATGCCAGAGAAAGCCACATACTCTCAATTCTGGTAACTTATGAATCCAGGTCTTGGAGGACAGATAGATGCAGAGGGACCAAGCCTTCCTCACATGAGGTTGAGAAGCCCAGTGAAGCTGACTTATGAGTCACCATACGAAACTACTATAAAACAGGAACAATGCTGAGATAAACGCAGCCATCACTAACAGCCAGGAGTGAGGAGTCTGGGGAAAGCAAATGTAAGGCTAAACACTTGTGCCAGGCCCACAAAGAAAGGGCTACAACGAAGAATGCACAGAGCTGGCCATCCCTCTGTCCTTCTGCATGGGAATCAGGAATGGACTTAACTTGGGCCTAAGAGTTGAGCTTAGAAGGAGGGGCTGGGGGAGAAGCACCACACAATGACTCATGTCTGTAATCCTAGCTGCTCAGAAGGCTGAGATTTGGGATGGAGTTTCGAAGCCAGCTCAGGCAATAAAGTCTATAAGTCTTATTTTCAATTAGGCACCCAAAAAGCCAGAAGTGGAGTTGTGGCTCAAGTGGTAGAGTGCTAGCCTTCAGCAAAATAAGCTCAGGGACAGTGCCCAGGCCCCGAGTTCAAGCCTTAGGAGTGGCACCAAAAACATACAAACATAAAAGAAACAGGGAGGGTTGTCAGGCAGGGTGGTAGGTGTTGTGAGTGCCAGGCACAGGCACTGGAGAGTGCTTGCCAGCCAGGATGGCAGGCCTGGATGCCTGACATCCAGAGCGAGGGGTGTGGAGAGATCTGCCCTACAGAAAGTCACCACTACAGCCACAGCGGCAGGGATCCTCAGCAACAGGTCAGAGATAAAGAGGATCAGATCACTCTGCGGCTGGCCTAGCACCCAGGGCGCTCGGAGAGGAAGGAAGAATGCAAAGACGCACAGAGTGTTCTCGGGAGGTCTGAACGCGGCCAGCCGCGCTGTGGGAGGAGATCCTGTAACACTTGGGGGACTTTTTTTTTTTTCTCCCAACTCTTAACTTTGTCCCGAAACAAAGCAAAAGCCACGCCCGGGCCAGACGCAGAGCGCGAATCCCCCCAGTGCCGGGAAACCCTCCCTGACGCCATCTCTGGCTTGCAGCCAGGAGGACCCCGCCTCCGTCTCCCCAGCCCCCCGCGCTCTCGCCCTCCCAGTGTCCGCACCGGCCACCCCGGCTTCCCGGATGCTCAGGAACCGACTCGAGCTCTGCATCGGAACGCTTAGCCGCTGGCCCTCTCCATCAGGCATCCAGGGGTCCTGCATCACAGCCGGACAGAGCCCCCTCCCCCGTCCCGGGGAACAGGCCCGCGGCGGGACAGGGTGAGGACGACTGGGATCCCGGAGTTAGGAGATCCGGGGCCATCCCTGCGCCCCGACCCCAGGGCCCCGCGGCTCACCTGACTTGCCCATGGCCGGCTCTGCGCGCTTCTCCGCTCCCGCTGCAGCCGCGGTGCGCTGCGCCCGGTCACCGCCCCAGCCTCGGGGATGGGGCCGGAGGGGGCCGGGCGGCCTCGGCCCCGCCCCCGGCCCCGCCCGGCCCCCTTGCCTTATAAGGCAAAGACAGCTGCAGGCCCCGCTCCCGGGCCACCCCGCCGGCGGCCCCGAGAATTCCTCGTGCGCGGGGAATTCCGGCTCCACCCCCGGGCTCTCCAGGTGCGAGGCGCAGGCCTTCGGGACCGCCCTCCCGAACTGTCTCTGCTCCTGGCTCCGCAGGGACAGTGCGCACCTTGCACGCGGCTGCCGGTGGCCCCGCCGCGACCCTGGCACCGCGAGGACCGCAATCAGGGGCGGTTGTGGCCCGCGCCACCTGGGGTCAGTAGTCACCCAGCAGTCAGGTCCCCCTGATGTGCCCCCTTCTCAGTGACAGGGAGCCCCAAAGGGCTCCTCTCCCTGGGCCTGGGCTCTTCCCCCCACCTTCTAGCTGAGCCGCCCCAGGGAGCGCCCAAGGCTGCCTGCGACCTGTGCACCGGCCCCCATTCTCGCCTTCCAGTTTTATCTCAGGCACGGGTTCAAACTAGATTCCTCCATATTCCCTCACATTTGGTCTTAAGATCCCTCATGACTTGTTCTTTATGAGTTATTTTAAAATGTTCGTTTCCAAATATTTGGGACTTTGCCTTGGTATCTTTCTGTCATGGATTGTCATTGTAATTAGGTTGTTGAACCTGGCTTTTAGACCCCAGGCCCACAGTCCAGGCTCCAGTTAGGTCGGACCACTCACCTTGCACACCAGATAGAGACACGGTGAGGGGCCCGGCACCGGAAGACAGCAGTTCAGTACATCTTCAGCCATCTTTTGAGGTACAGACATTGCCTTCAGGTTAAGTAGGGAGAGTTGGGTGTGTAGAGGGTGATAAAGGTATGCATAGTTAAAACAGTCCCAAGTCTCAGGTGGAGCCTGGTTGACCATTATTAGCTGTTCTTGTCCTTAGAGGAGTTCTGGAGAAATTATCACCTTATTATAGGAGCAGAATAGAAACAAGGTGGTCTCCTGAGTTTGGGGTGTTTTGTTTTGTTTTGTTTTGCCAGTCCTGGAGCTTGAACTCAGGGTCTGGGCACTATCCCTGGGCCTCTTTGTGCTCAAGGCTAGCACTCTACTAGTTGAGCCACAGAGCCACTTCTGGCTTTTTCTGAGTAGTTTATTGGAGATAAGAGTTTCATGGACTTTTCTGTCATGGCTGGCTTCAAACTACAATCCTCAGATCTCAGCTTCCTGAGTAGCTAGGATGACAGGTGTGAGCCACCACTGGGCTGTTTTCTTTAAAGATAAATAAGTAGAGGGCACTGCTTGTTTGAGGGGCAGTTTGTTTACCACTCAAGATGGTTGTCATTGAATCTTTTCTTTCTGCAAAACAAGGTGACTGCAAAGGGACTTCAACAGAGAATAGCTCAGAGAAATGGCTACAAATAGAAAATTGGAGGGCTTTTTGTTAATTCCCAGGACCCAGGCAAAAGCATCTTCTAAGTTGCCTCTTGATTATGGACTATAAATATCCTGTGTGATTTCTTTCACATGTGCTAACCATTATTTTATGGCCTAAGGTATGGTTTGTCTTGGTGAATATTCCCTGGGCACTTGGAAAGACTATGTCCCCTAAATGCCAATAAAATTGATTGGCAGTGTTGTTGCTGTCTTTTATATCCTTGCTGATTTTGTCTGCTTGTTCTATCAAATATTGAGACAGGGATATTAAATCTGTCCATTTCTTCTTTAGATTCTATATTAACTTTGCTTCATGTACTTTGAACCTTTTATTCAAAGTATAAACATTTATGATTCATATCATCTTGATATTGACTTTTTTAATCAGGGCCCTATGCATGTTAGGCAAATGGTTTACTGATGAGATATGCCCCCAACCTTTTTTTTTTCTTTTTCTTTCAGTTCTGATAATGGAACCTACAGATTTGGGTATGCTAGGCAAGTGTTCTAGCACTACAATTTATCGGAACTACTCCGTACCCTTAGTAAAATGACTATCTCTGCTAACCTTTCCTGTGAAATGGACTTTATTACATAGCCATTTGGCTTTCTTTTAATTATTATTATTAGTAATAGTAGTAGGCGGCTCATGTAACTCTTTTCCTCTTTCTCTTCCTCCTCCTCCTTTTCCTTTTTGGTGGTCCCAGTCTTGGGGCTTGAACTTGGGGCCCTAGTGTCTCTGAGCTTTTTTGCTCACTCTAACTTTGTGAACCACAGCTCCACTTCTGGCTTTTTTTGGTGATTAATTTTGGAGATAAGAGTCAGGTAGACCTTCCTATCTGGGCTGGCTTTTAACTTTGATCCTCAGATCTCAGCTTATTTATTTTTTTTTGTTTTTTTTGGGGGTCCGGTCGTGTGGGCCTGAACTCTGGGCCTGGGTGCTGTACCTCAGCTCTTCAGCTCAAGGATAACACTCTACCACTTGAGCCACAGCGCCATTTCTGGCATTTTTTCTTTTTGCATATGTGGTGCTGCGGAATCGAACCCAGGGCCTCATGCATGCAAGGCAAGCGATCTACCACGGAGCCACCTTCCCAGCCCTCAGCTTCTTTAGTATTTAGAACTGATTACAGGTATGATCCACCAGCACCTGGCACTCTGAGTTATTTTTGAGACAGGATCTAGCTTTTTGTCTGGGCCATTCTAGACTATGTTCCTTCTGTTTTATGCTCCCTGTTACAGCTGGGAGGATAGGTATACTACCATGCCCAGCTAACTACAAACCTCCTGACTGCCTCCCAAGTAGGGTCATGAGCCACATGTCATTTGTATTACAAATGACAGTATCACTTGTGAGTAGAGACCTCAGAGCTAGGTATGGTGCTTTCTTTTCTCTCTTTTCCTTGTGAGGACCCTGGACTGGTTACTAGGAGTGAAGATGGTATGGCTAGAAATTGCTTCAATTGTAAGCCACTAAGGTCTGGGGAATTTGCCTAAGCTGACTCTCCTTCCAGAGCCTGCTGCCTCAGGATATGCTGTGGAGAGTTCAAAGTAGACCTGCCTAGTCTGTCCTGGGGCTTGGAAAACCTGAAGCTGCAATCTCAGCACCTGACTGCCACTGTTTCCCCTGGGCCATGTCTCGGTCTGGTGCGTTCCATCTGCCCTGCTCTCCCAGGGTCCTTGGGATGGCCACTTGTTTTCTATTTTCTTTCACTTTTTCCCCTCATTATTATATACATTAGTTTTAAAGGTGGGGGTGGGGATTCAATAAGACATTTCCATCCATGAATAATGTACCTCATCACCTTACCACTCTATCAGTCTCTCTTAGATCCTTTCCCCATTTCTTGGAACAATTTCAATTGCTTTTGCTGCTCTATTTTCATACATGAATATAAAGAACTTTAACATTTACCCTGATTCATCCTTCTGTACTGATAGCCACCTTCAACAGCACTTGTTTTACTTTCCTGTCATTCATTTGTGTTTATTCCTTGTATTAAGGGGCTTCACCATAGTATTTTGAACATGTATATATTCTGATATATTTTGATCAAACTAATCCCCTCTATTGTTTTTTTCCTGTCTCCCCTCCCTTTTTTTTTTTTTTTGGGTCCGGTTGTGGGCCTGAACTCTGGGCCTGGGCACTGTCCCTCAGCTCTTCAGCTCAAGGCTAGCACTCTACCACTTGAGCCGCAGCGCCACTTCCGGCTTTTTTTCTTTTTGCTAATGTTGTGCTGAGGAATCGAACCCAGGGCCTCATGCATGCAAGGCAAACACTCTACCACTGAGCCACCTTCCCAGCCCCCCTCCCTTACTATTAAACAGTTTTTGTTGTTGTTTTTTGCTGGTCCTGGGGCTTGAACTCAGGGCCTGGGCACTGTCCCTGAGCCTCTTTGTGCTCAAGGCTAGCACTCTAGCATTTTAGCCACAGCACCACTTCTGGCTTTTTTTTGAGTAGTTTATTGCAGATAAGAGTCTTATGGACTTTTCTGTCTGGGCTGACTTCAAACTGCAATTCTCAGATCTCAGCTTCCTGAGTAGCTAGGATTACAGGTGTGAGCCACTGGCACCCAGCCTGTTTAACAGCTTTTGAAATTTTTTTTAAAATAAAATTAAATCCAAGGTTTATTAAGGATTTCAGATTACATATTTCAAATTTATGGTATGGAATAGAACCATTTTGGAACTGAGGAAATGGCATAAATGAACACTGACATCCCTTGAAACTTTATAAAGAAAACAATTCCTCTGCCAAACTCATCCCCATTATAGAACAACATGAAATATAATCTTATAATCTACCTCTTCACTTTGGCAATGGCTCTATCCTAAAGGAATGAAAAGTAATGATTTTGCTACTTCTGTAAGTTCATTAATAATGGGATTCTGTCTTCAAGTTTATAAGATTGCTTATCCCATCTTCATACCTGAACACATGAAATTTGACATTATTCATCCTCTATCATGCCCATGCCCTCTTCCTCCTCCCCCGCTAGCAATCCATGGCTTCTTATTCCAGAGTTACATAGCTGACCCAAGGGTGACTGACTGTTTCATTTCCAGTGTCCATATTGCTTGAAAGAACAAATGACCAGATAAGATTTTTATTAAAATAGAAAAGCTTTCTAGTATATTGCATTGAAGACATTTACACAGAAATAAGCAATTGCAACAAATATGCTACATCAGCACTGAGATATTCTGAAAGCTTTAAGTGCCCACTTTTCAACATTTTGGTATAGTAAGCATATCTATCCCTATGTATTTCAAAGGATATATATATATATAAAATACTGAAAAAAAGTTCATGTAAAATCTAAGGTCAGGTGCATACAAACAAGAAGTATTACATTGTATTACATTATATAGCTTATTTCAAACTGTGGAACACATTCAAAGTATCCATTTTTTTAGACAACATGCAAATATTTTAATACTCAGTTTGATATCTTTAAATAGATAAAGCACAATTCTTCATAATTCTATATCAAAAAAGTCAGACAGAACATTTATCTACACTGTGCACATCATGAAAAGCAAATGTGTCTCCATAAACACAAGGTACTGGGTTAACACACATGATTGTCACATTACAAATATGGCTATTCACCTTCTTCATAATAAAATAGAAAAATCATGTATTTACATGAACTAATTATTTCACTTTTTTGGCAATTATAAAAATAGCAGCAAATGGTTTAAAGATTGATGTTTAAAAACTCTAAATTTAACTTGATGAATACCAAAGAGTACATGTCTGGTTGTTACAAAAATTGCATGATGTTTTAATGCAATGTGACCTCTCACTTTCACAAAAGTGACAGGCATAAATCAGTGACAAATGAGACTTCACTTACAATATATAATTATTAGAGGGTCATTTGGTCAGCTCTCTTTTACTTAACGATATAGATGGGGTCTTGAATGAAACCTGTAAATTGATTTAGGCAGAGTGGTAAATGCCTGTAATTGTAGGCTGAGGCAGGAGGATGAAATGTTCAAGGTCAATATGGGCTACATAGCAAAAAAACAAAAGATTTTTCCCCCTGTAAACTGAGTGGACCTGATGACTTATATGACATTTTCAAGGACACTTCACCTTGATTTCACACTCTCCTATATCAGTGGCTCTTCTCTGGACCCCTGCCCCTGCTTCTAGACAAAGAAGTGGGGATTATCTGTATATAATCTCGATTACTAGGGCAACCTTAATACTGACAAGAACTCTGAAATGAAGTTTATCTGATATGAACCCAATGGCAAAGTGAGTTTTCTTTCTTTTTCTTTTTTTTTTTTTGGTCGTGGGGCCTGAACTCTGGGCCTGGGCACTGTCCCTTAGCTCTTCAGCTCAAGGCTAGCTACCATTTGAGTCACAGTGCCACATCTGTTGGTTTTTTTTTGTTTTTTTTCTGTTTATGTGGTGCTGAGGAATTGAACCCAGGGCTTCATGCATGCAAGGCAAGTGCTCTACCACGGAGCCACCTTCCCAGCCTGTGAGTTCTCTTTCTAAAGAACAATTATCTCGGGCTGGGATGTAGCTCAGTGGCAAAGCACTTGCCTAGCAACGCAACGTCCTGGGTTCGATCCCCAGTACCAAAAAAGAAAAGACAAAAAAAATACAGTTAAAAAAAACCCAAACAAAAAAAAGAACAATTATCTCATTGATCAGTACTAAGTTTGAATTCAGGGCTTTGTGCTTGCTCCCACTTAAGCCATGCCTCTAGCTCTTATCAAGGATATTAAAGTTGTTCTAGAGTGGGAACCTCATCATTGAGAATATTGTAAATCACAAGGCCGTGATCCACCAGAAAGAGGCATCCTCATGCATTAGTATTTGGAAGAAGAACATATTTACCATTTGTAAAGCTAAGACAAAAGCTCTACATATATTGGTGGATTAAAAAAAAATACTGTGTGGTGACAAGAGGTGACGTACTTTTACTTGGCCGCTGTACCACCACCAACCCGCAGTCTTGAATGTCTTTCACAAGGTAGAAGAGTTATGGCTAGGAAGATTTTGCACTTTTTGTGGGCAGTCAGTGACGAGTCCAGAGCATGTGCAAGGCAAGGGCCAGGCTGAGGAGGAGGAGCAGGGAGTTCCAAGAAGGCCTGGCCCCCATGGCAGCTGATGGCAGGCTGTTGGAGACCTGCGCTTGGGAGATGATGAGAGCAGACAGAGGGACGTGGGATGCCAGAGTGGGGCTGTCAGAGTTGATGAGGGACTCGATCTTCTCTGCTTCCTTATTACAAGCCTCAATCTGGGAGAACGAGAAAAAGATCTGTTCAACACAAAACTACAGGAACATGTGAAAAGGTCAAACTGGACAGATTCCACGCATATGCCTAAAGTAATGTAGCCTTCTAGGGACCATTCATTCTCTTTGCCTTTCTTTTCTTAGCTAAAGTAACATTTTATTATAGCCTTAATTTACTACATATATGTAAGGCATTAAAGAAAGTCAGAAATGAACGACAAGGCCATTGCCCTAATCAATCAACTTGTCTCATCGTTCACTGCCTATGTACTCTAGACTTCATCTTTACTTGGTTAAACAGTCAATGGAGTGTGCTTCAATGGTTCTTTAAACATGAGGCTAAAGCAATTTAACTTTAACCAGGCTTATCTAATGATGGCAGTTCTCAAAGTAAACATCCTGCTTATTGAGCTCTCACTACTGTCATGCTGAAATCTGGGTTTCACCTGCTCCTAAATTAGAGAAAGAAAAACTGCTTACAAGTCTAGCTTCCTCTACAGCAGGAGCAGAGCCCCGAGGAAGCCAGAGGCTTTCTGGCCTTCTCACTGTGAGGCCTGTGCCAGTCTTGCCTCCCTGGGCCTCAGTGGCCTCATTTGTATAAGAAGTGGACTGCCACTGGTGTGTTCTCAAAGTCCCTCCATCTCTGTACCCTCTGAGTCCCAGTGCCTTAGTTTTTCCCTTCCCCTGGCTCCACTATATTCCTGACAAATGGATGCCAGGCCTCAGCTGTCTAGAAAAGTACTTGGTTCTTCAGAGACTCCCTTGTTTTTCTCCCTTCTTGGTTCCAAACTCCCCAAGAGCCCCCGTTTCCTCATCTCCTGATCCTTCCCTGCTCCTGATGTGTACTCTCTACCTAAGTCCACACAACCTGAAAGTGACAGGACGGTGCACACCATGCACTGAGCGATACCTGCAAAGGTTTTGGATAATGATCCACAGGAATGATCAGAATCACTATTTCTGACTCAATGCTGAAGTATCCAAATACATCACACTGTGGGACAGAAACATGCATGCGGATTTTCTGAAGGATTTCCAGAACTGTTATTGGCTTTTTATTTGTTACCTAGAAGGAGAAAACATTTTTATTACCTGAGGACAAGAAGAGGTCACTACTACTGCCTAAGCTGCCATTACTGCCATTGCTTCAGTGGCCACTGGAGGAGACGCTGACTAAAGAACCCTTGGCCCCAAAATGACTCTATGGACCAAGTCCTAGGTTTTTTGTTTGTGTTTTTATTTTGTTTTTCAATGTGCTGGCCTTGGGAGGCTTGAACTCAGGGCCAAAGCACCGTTCTTGAACTTTGGCTATTTTAAGGCTAGTGCTCTACCACTTTGAGTCACAAGGTTTTGGGTAGTTAATTGGAGATAAGAGTTCCATGGACTTTCCTGGCTTTAAACTGTAATCCTTAGATCTCAGCCTTCTGAGTAGATAGGATTAAAGGCATAAGCCATTGGTGCCCAGCCAGAAGTGATTTTCATTTATTTTTAAAAATTTTTAATTGTTATTATAAAGGTGATGTACAGAGGAGTTACAGTTATATAAGTCAGGTAAAGAGTACACTTTTCTTTTTTTTCTGCTTATGTGGTGCTGAGGAATCGAACCCAGGGCCTCATGCATGCAAGGCAAGCGCTCTACCACTGAGCCACCTTCCCAGCCCAGGAGTACATTTTTCTTTGGACAATATCTCCTCTTCCCTTGCTCTCTCCCAGTTTTTCCCTTCCATCCCCACCCACAAGAGATGTGGTTTTTAAATAGTGATTATTCTGACTCAGTCTTTCTACAAAGACTAAGTATTTTAATCAAAATAGAGAAGATTGTGTAGGCAGTGGCAAGTGTTTGCTGTACATTCTGGGAACCCTATCTTCACCAAATGGCACAGCAAATGTGATGATGTAGAGAAGGGAAAGGGTAAAACCACCTAGGGAGGGTGGTGGTTTCAGGAGGTCACCTTGGAGGAATTGGGGCTGGTATGATACCAGCCATCTTGAAATCATTTGAAATCTTGAAATCTACCAGCCTCAGCCACCTGCTCCACCTGCAGCTGCTCACCATCTCCCCAAGCTTTCTAAGAAAAGCTCAGGCTGACTGATGTGCACAGCTGGGGTGTGACAGGAAGAAGCACAGGTTGGGACTTCACTACGATGCAAACCCTCTTTATACTGGCTATGGTTGTGGGCAAGTCATTTTTCTGCAAATTCATTTCTTCATCTATAAATGGAGATAGTTCATTTGCTTTCCAGGATTCTGAGAGGTTTAGCAATAAGGTTACAACGGTACCTGACATATAAAGGAATATACCTTAGCAATAGTGTCCAGTTTTTCTCTGTCAAATAAAACTCTTAACATCCCAGCACATAATGGACAACAAGCACCTGTAACAGAAACCATTTTGTATGGGTTCAGAATTAACAAGAATTCAAAAGTTTTGTGATGATTCTCTTTTCAGATATACTGCCTGACCAACCTGTGGCCTTGTAATCTGTGAGTTTACCAAAGTTCTTTCTTCACCCCTGCCTCCATCCTGCTCAGGGAGAGGAAGCTGCGGTGTAACAGAGCACACAGACAGGCACCGAAGAAAGACACAGGGCCTAATTCTGCCCTGCCTCCATCTCACTCTGTGATCCTGGCCAAATGTTCTCACTGGGCCTTTGTTTGTTTGCAAATAAAGAGCTTATGATTTGGGAGTTCACAGCATTTGCTTTCAATTTAATTTTAAAATGATCTGAAAACTGTTTAAAAACCACAGCAAGATATGGCATGATCGAATTTAATGTTATACCACATTGAACATGGCAGAGCTCAGTAATCAATCCATTAGCCAGCCCTCCACAGTTGGCCTTCACTATTCCACTTCGTTCTGCTTCATTGCACTTGGTGCTCCTGACAGTACAGATCTGCACAGTAACTTGTGTCAGCTCCCTTGAAACAGGAGGAAAATAATCCTTTTAGTTCACTGCTACATCCCTAGTGCTTAGAAGACTGTCTGGCAAACAGTGGAAGCTCAGTGAATATTCGATGAGTGAATGCACGGAAGACTCCAGATTAACCTGCTCTGTATAGTTTTGCAATACAGTCTTACCTGCCACCTCTGAAGAGTGTGAGATCACAGGCAAACTGCTTTAAAACCCCCACAAACTTGCTGATTATATGCAACTAAACCAATTGAATTAAGATACTCAGGGTAATATGACAACTCTTTTTTATCTCTCTCAACTTCAAATGTTGGTGTTCTTCAAAACTTCTTTGATTATATATTTACTAATTCAGTGTTCATTACTTTTATAAGTAAATACTATATGTTTAATCTAATAACAATTTTAGAAAATAAGTACTACTTTATTTTATTTATTTTATGCTGGTTTTGGGGCTTGAACTTAGGGCCTGGATCCTGTCTTTGGTCTTTTTTTTGGATTAAGGATAGTACTCTGCCACTTGATCCACATCTCTGCTTCCAACTTTTTAGTGGTTAACTGGAGATGGACTGTCTTGCTAGTCTGGCTTTAAATTGTGATCCTCAGATCTTAGCCTCCTGAACAGGTAGTATTATAGGCATGAGCCCCAAGTGCCTAGTAATTACTTTATCATTTTATATATTAGTGTTTGGTGCAAAATTTGCTTGAAAAAAGAATGCCCTACTGTTCTGAAGTCACCAGACCAGATGATACCTAAGGTAATCCATAACTTTTCCAGGTCAATCCAGAATATTATGTCTAACTAATGTGTGAGTCTCTTGAAAAATTTAAATAAACTAGTCAGACTGACTTTCTTGAAGAGAATAAGCAAATTCTTCCAATTCCACCCGTGCCTACCCCAAATACCTCCAGCCTACCAGGTGGGATGATGGGTTTGCACCCTGTTGCCAAAAGTGGAGGACACTTCACAGCAGCACACTCAGTGACAGAACTGTATTCGGAGAGGACCCCAACAGCCTGGCAGGGTCCATCGTAATCAACTGCCACGCGATCAGAGTAGGCAGCACACACACTACTATAGGTCTCACCATTGTGGGCACAGACAGGCTCTGTGGCTCTGCAGAATGGCTGAGGGCAAACAAATCACAGTTAGCCAGGGAACTGCCATGGTGTACCAGTCCTGATCAGGAGGACAGGGGGTCTCTATCTCTCTCACCTTCTCTCTCTCTCTTGTCCTTGAGATTTTTTTTGCTCAAGGCTAGCACTCTACTACTTGTACCACAGCTCTACTTGAGGCTGTGTGTGTGTGTGTGTGTGTGTGTGTGTGTATGTGTGTGTGTGTGTGTGTGGTTAATTGGAGATAGAGTCTCTTGGATTTTCCTGCCCAGGTTGGCTTCAAATTGTGAATCTCAGTTCTCAGCCTCCTGAGTAGCCAGGATTACAGGTGTGAACCACTGGCAACTGGCTTCTATGCTCAAAAAAGGAAAAAGACACAGTAGTAAGCAAAGAACAACACAGCTGTCTCAAGAATGAACTGAAAAGGTGACCACTCAATCTCTCTGACCTGGGTGGTCGTTTCATATAAACAGGTATGAAATAAATATATCCTCTCACAACTCCTCCACCCAGATAGCTCTTAAAAATCCAAGAAAATCTGTTTGAAGAAAATAAGATCAATCTTTCTCTGAATGTGGAGGCCTTACCATTTCATCGTGGGTATAGGAAAAGGAGAGAAAAGAGTGAAGATAATAGTGGAACAGACAGACTCTGGGCTTATTCCTGGGTAGGTCAGGAAAAAGCATAAACAGGATGAGTAAAAGAGGAAGAAGAGAAGACTGGCAATTTAGAGAGGAAGATATCAATACAAATGGAATCTAAGTGTTGAGAGAAAACAAGTTTAGGTAAACAAGCTAAAGGGACTTTTCTAACCAAGACCAGAGAATGAGATACAACCTTGGAAGCTGTTAGGGAGTAGTGGATAAGGGAATCTAGGCCCAGAGATGGGTATCCCCCAGGACAGAATATGTGGTTCATGTGGGAAGTTCCAAAGGGGCGGTTTATGTGATTAGTCATTTAATGTGGATGCAGATTCCACAACCCTTCAAGACTAAGATATAGGCGAATGTAAAAGGACAGACATCTTAGAGAAGTTTTCAATCACTGTAAGTGGTAGGAGAGAAGTACAAAGATGGGGAAACTTTTTCTTTTCTTCCTGATTTGTTTCCTAGTGGGGACGATGCATAGAATTTTGGGAAGTACATTTGGAATGAAACCAAAGTCCTTTTCCTACAAATGGCAGCAAGAAGTCACTGTCTCTGCTTGCTTCTTCTACATTAGCTGCATAGAGGTACGCACTAGCCAGACAGCCTTTCAGAATGAGAAGAGCCAGTGTTCTTTTTCAGTGGAGGGCCTAATTCTTCTTGCCTGTAAAGGATCACAAACCCATTTTTTTTGCCCAGTGTACTTTGTTTGTCAGCCAAACAACATACCTGACACGGGCCTTTGTAGGAGAGGCTTTTTCCTCTTTGGTATAAAGTGCAGAGATTATTATGCTCCATGTGGTCTGTATCACACACAGGATCACGAATCTGGTCACAGGCGAGCTGTCTTGGCACACACTCATACTGACTACATCCAAATTTATCAAAAGTTGTCAGGCAGACTTGTGGCTTGGGAACACATCTGAAAAAGATGAATGCAGCGCATGAGCCAGCTGTAGGGTCCGGGATGAGGGGTGGGGAGGAAGATTATGGTGGGGCTAGCAGAGCCATGAATGAGGCCCAGGTGGCTGAGAAAAAAGCAAGAGATACAAGAGCTTATGTAGAGGGGTAGCATCAAGCATGCAGAATAGGCTATTGAGGTAGCAATGCCATACAAATTGCCCAAGGGAATGAGTTACTGGGTGGAAGCCTGGGGGGATACACCATTCTAACTGAAGCTGGGTGGGTAAGAAGGGTATATACAGTGGACCAGACTGAGGAAGCAGACATCAACACTGAAGTGAGGATCCAGAATGTGATACTGGGGAAAGGGGAAGGGAGAGAGATTTCAAGAGCCAAGGATGCAAGCACAGGTAGAAGTACTGAGACAGGAGGCCAGGTAGATGGGCTCCAATAACAAATGAAACATTTTCTTGTGCTTAATTTTACTTGGCTAAAAAAAAAAATCTATCTTAAGGAAAGCTTTTGCTAGGTACTGTGGCTCAAGCCTACAATCCTAGCTACTTGAGGGGTAGACATCAGAGGATCTCAGATCTTAGTCTGAGGCCAGCCTGGGCAAAAAAAAGTTTAAGAAAAACTCCATCTCAACCAATGGCTGGCAAGGTACAATGACATCTGACTGTCTTCTCCAGAGAGATGGGGAAGCACCAGGAGGATTATAACTCAGACTGGTTTTGGCATTAAAACCCTAACTCAAAAATAACCCAGACAAAAAAGGGGTTAGAAAGGCGTGCTCAACTGGTAGAGAACCTGCCTCACAAGCATGAGGCTCCAGCTTCAATCCCAGGACCACCAAAAAGAAAACAAAAAAGAGGTTTCACTTTATGTCCTAAAAAAATTTTCAGATTTCTGTACCTACCAGACTAAGAAGTTGACGCTAGTTGGACTACTTACTTACTGAGAATGCCACCAAAGTGGATTCTTCTAGTAATGTCTGGACCTTGTTTAATTTTCAATTCCTTATTTCTCCACAGCTCTCCTAAATCCTCATTTCCAACACTCATGACTTCCGCTCCTGTAGCCGTCTGCCTTTACCCATACCACATTTCTCCCTGCACCCATGCTGTGGCTGCTCATCCTCCCGGATTCAGCAGCGTGTCACATCCTCCTGAGCCTTTCCTCTCCAGGCTGCACTAACTGCCCATATTTGGGGTCCCAATCATGTTGGAAGATTTACTTGGCTCTTTTTTTACTTAGCAGTTTTACTTGGCTCTTTTTCTTTTTAGATTCCATACTCTTTAAGAAAGAGAGCACATTTTGGGGGGTGGGGGCAATGTCACACTATATAGCCCACGCTGACCTTGAAATCAAGCTCAGTCTTCTGCCTCAGTCTCTTCAATGCTGAGATTATATATGTGTGTCACAATACTGGGCCACAGACTGCCTTTCAACCCAACCCACCTTTGTGTTTTCACCATCTGATACATGGATGGTAGATGTTTTGTAAGTGCTGGTTTGGGGTTGAGGGGGAAAAAAAGAAAAGCTTTCAACTTACCTTTGGTTTTTTGGACAGAGATTAGGATTACAAGGGTCCTTGGAGATGCATGATCCAAACTCAAACTGGTGGTCTTGGAGACCCACACAGCGTGCAATACAGGCACTGGGATAAGTGCGTCCATTCTGTCCACAAACAGGGACAAACTGATCTGCGCAGTTACAGGGCAGGCCTGAAGAGAGGAAATGGAAGACATGCTAGAAAGCTTCATTTTCTAGCGGAGCAACAGGGGCTCATACTTATCATTGTAGCTACTCAGGAAGCTGAGACATGAAGGACTGGGTTCAAAGACAGCCAAGTCCATAAGACTCCATCCCCAAAATAACTAGCAGAGAGCTGGATTAGAGGTGTGGCTCAAGTAGTAAAGCACCAACCAAGTGAACAAACTAAACTTCCTGAGTAGCTAGGATTACAGGCATGAGCCACCAGTGCCTGGCATGTGAGATCCTTATCTCTAATAAACAATTCAGAAAAAGCTGAAAGCCACTGTGGCTCAAGTGATAGAGCCATTAGCCTTGAGAAGAAGAATCTCAGGGACAGAGCCCAGGTCCTACATTCAAATCAAAGTACCACCACACACACACACACACACACACACACACAAATCAAAACAAAAACATCCCACTTCATTGCTGAAGAGCACTGACTACTTATTTGGGTCTCTAAATTAAAAACAGAAGAAAAGCTTAACATATGTACCTTTGCTCTAAGTCATTCTCTGTAGTTACTTTGCAATCACTTTGGAATTCAGGAGGAACAGGATAGGGCTGACTGATTGCATCTTTATGGCTTTATGACAAAGAACTGAAATTACTCTTAAGTACCAATTGTGATTCCTCAGGACAAAACACTTTACAACAATGATGACTATTCTGACCAGTGATTACAGTAATAGCAACTTCTCCAGAATCCCCTCCAAGGAATGAAATAATAACCAGGCCTATAGTTCATGTCTACACCTAGAAGATGTCTGAGGACGAGCTAAAGTGCTGTCTTCCCATAGCTGCTACATAAAAAACCTCTCTCTGGAAGTGGTGCTGTGGCTCAAGTGGTAGAGTGCTCGTCTTGGGCTGAAGATCACAGGGAAAACACCCAGGCCCCGAGTTCAAGCCCCACGACCGAAAAAAAAAGAAAAAAAAACCCTCTCTCTGCTCCTCACCATATCTTTTTATTTGGCATACAGGGGCAATAATCAGGCCTGACATGTGGAATTCCTGGAGTTTGGGGCTGGCATCTAAAACTCTGGTTTCAGACACAGCCTCAAATATACACCCACGTAGACTTCCTTTCTTCCATTTGTCCTTATGAAGGTGGACCATTAACAATCATGTGGCAGTCCTATGTTCATACATTAAGTCAGAGAAATATGGCTACCTTGCCATCTCTGCTTTTTCAAAGGCAGCACAGCTTTGAATGAGTGCAAGGCAGCTTTCCTTTGTCAGCCAGTGGACAGGGGAACTGCAGACCACGGTCCTACAAGCAGATCCTTATAAAGAAGACTGTATGTAGAAAAATAAAGCTTGCTTCTCCTGATCTGGCATGTAAAATCTGAGATTTAGATGTCTCAACTCTGGGTTAGGGGATTTCTTAAGTATTAAGGGTAATACCAAAAACAAGACAAAGCAAGGTTCATAGATGCCTCCTATAGGTTCCTTCCCCTGTCATTTATTCAGGGATTGGGAAGAACAGGAAGGTAAAGCGGAAAAGTATAGTTTTGAAACTTAAATTTTTTTTGGGGGGGGTCCGGTCATGGGGCCTGAACTCTGGGCCTAGGTGCTGTCCCTCAGCTCTTCAGCTCAAGGCTACCACTTGAGCCACAGCGCCACTTCCGGCTTTTTTCTTATGTGGTGCTGAGGAATCAAACCCAGGGCCTCATGCATGCAAGGCAAGCGCTCTACCACTGAGCCACCTTCCCAGACCCTGAAACTTAAAAATTTTTATGACTATCTCCTTCTGAATCATGTGTGGACTTGAACACTTAATCACAAGAAATGTGTTGCAGTTTGGGGCCAGTAGAATTCCCTTAGCATCTGCTAACTTAATAGTTAATATTTAGCTGTTTAAAACAAACTAACAAACAAATAAGCAAGTAAATAAATAAATATATAATAAACAATAAAGACCTTTCTTATAAATTTTTGGGTCACTCTTATGTTCAGATTCTTCTATGGTTTTTCTAAGCACAATGAATTGTTCTCATTGGAACAGAACAAAGGGCAATAATGAGGGAGGATGTTATGACTGTACTAAGCCAGCAGAGACTGAGACTCACTGGATGAGGTGGGTTGGTTCCCCACCTACTTCCTTATCAGTCTACTGTTTACTTCTAACTTTTTTTTTTTTTTTTTTGGGTCCAGTCGTGGGGCCTGAACTCTGGGCCTGGGTGCTGTCCCTCAGCTCTTCAGCTCAAGGCTAGCACTCTACCACTTGAGCTACAGTGCCACTTCCGGCTTTTTTCTTTTTGTTTATGTGGTTCTGAGGAATCAAAACCAGGGCCTCAAGCATGCAAGGCAAGCGCTCTACCACTGAGCCATCTTCCCAGCCCCTCACTTCTAACTTTTTATTATTAGTTTTTTGTTTTTGTTTTTTTTGCCAGTCCTGGGGCTTGAACTCAGGGCCTGAGTTCAAGACTAGCACTCTACCACTTGAGCCACAGCTCCACTTCTAGGTTTTTCTGCTTATGTGGTACTGAGGAATGGAACCCAGGGCTTCATGCATGCTAGGCAAGCTCTCTACCACTAAGCCACATTCCCAGCCCTCACTTCTTACTTTTAGTCTCCTTTTTATTTCCAAAGGACTGGAGATACAAGGTGGGTAAAACCTTATTCTTTTCTCCCCAACACCAACCCCACCTTCTTGGCCTCTAATACTAACTCCTGGGAAAAAAGAATCAAGAATCCACTGGTACTGCAGTGGCATGAAATGGAAGTATGAGGTAAAGACCTAGAATGTCTTTACCCAGAACCAAAGGTACTTGAGATCTGGGAGAAAACAGCATCAGTAGATACCAGCAGACTGGGCTACTGCTGTTGTCAAGTGCAGCTTCATCGCAGAAAATGTCCATATTACCAGGCCATACATCTGTTGCTGCTGATGTGAGCACAATACCACAGCATAAAACATGGTAAAATCAAGAAAATAGTATGGGATGAGGTATGATACTATCTGTGGAAATCAATAAGCTCAGGCAATGGCAAAAAACACCTTAAAAACACATTTAGACTACATGGTAGGGGGATGTGGGGGTATTTCACTAGGCAGAAAAGTTCCATTTAACTGAAACCATCCTACTCATAGACCCTATTCTTTCTGACTCATGGAATCCGAGAATATTTGTGCTGGAAGGGCCCCAAGGAACCATTTAATTTAATGCCTAAAATCAATACAGGATGAAACTAAGATCAAGTAAGTATTTTGTCCTCAGATTCTGTACTGATTTTTTTTTTTTTTTTGGTCCGGTCGTGGGGCCTGAACTCTGGGCCTGGGCGCTGTCCCTCAGCTCTTCAGCTCAAGGCTAGCGCTCTACCACTTGAGCCACAGTGCCACTTCCGGCTTTTTTGCTTTTCTTTTTGTTTATGTGGTGCTGAGGAATCAAACCCAGGGCCTCAGGCATGCAAAGCAAGCGCTTTACCACTGAGCCACCTTCCCAGCCCCAGATTCTGTACTGATTTTATGGTATATATTTGCAGTTAAAGCAAGACTAGAGAGGCTGCCTTAAAGGAACAATGAGCACAAAGCAATGATGCCTCCCTGCCCCCAACAGGCTTGATGTTCATAGTCACCTGTGAAGATACGACGGTCATCATCTGAGCTGTGCTCATTGAGGCAGAGGCGAGTAGAACATACCAGATTGCCAGCGAAACAAGAACAGATATTGCAGTCAATACTAAATGATGTTCCATGACCTGAGAGAAAGGATAAGAGAGCACTGAACTATATTATGCATTAAAAAATAGAATAAAAATTAAAATTTTAATAGTTCTAAAACTATTTCTTAAGTTTTAGTAAGGAATTTATTTTAGTAAAACAGGGTTAAAATAGGGAGAAATGAGGAAGAGAGAAAAATATTTCCTGCTTCCCATATAGGAAATGGGAGTTAAAGACTCTTCAAAAAGTTTCAAAATAGAATTTTTATTTTTGTTTTTTTGTTGGTCATAGGGATTGAACTCAGGGCCTGGACGCTCTCCCTGAGCTCTTTTGCTCAAAGCTAGCACTCTACCACTTGAGCTACAGAGCTACTTCCAGTTTTCAGGTGGTTAACTGGAGATAATAGTCTCACAGTTCTTTCCTGTCTGGTCTGGCTTTGAACCATGATCCTCAGATCTCAGCTTCCTAGGAGTACAGGCATGAGCCACCAACACCTGGCTCAAAATAGAAATTTTTGAAAGATGATTTTGGAGTATGCAAAAGAGGGACTTAAACCTAAGATATTTGTATTTTTGCATTTGGACCCCATCATATTCTTCTAAGTTCCTAATATGCTGGTAAGAACCCATCACTGTTTGTTCTATAAAGTGAAGACAACCAATCATAGTACAAACAAAGCACAAATACAGTTCAAGGCTCACTTTTTCTTTTTCCTCCAACAATACAAGACTTCTGGAGGTCTATACAGTGCATCTCCATACAGTTTTCTAAAAGTCCGCTTTGTCCACATGAACAGATTTTATAACAACCAACTTCCCCTGCAGATGATGGCACCTGGATTAGTGTCCCTTGACGGACGATGAAATCAGATGCTTCTCCCAATTTGCAGCCTGTACAAAAATAATTCATTACTGGTATTATTTTCATGACAATGTTTTACAATATTAGATAGGATCTACTGAATAAAGTCTTATAGGGGCTGTGAAGCTATTAAAGATTATATAGGGGCTGGGAAGGTGGCTCAGTGGTAGATCGCTTGCCTTGCATACCTGAGGCCTTGGGTTCAATTCTTCAGCACCACATAAGCAAAAAGAAAAATGCCAGAAGTGGTGCTGTGGCTGAAGTGGAGAGCACTAGCCTTGAGCTGAAGAGCTGAGGGACAGCGCCCAGGCCCAGAGTTCAGGCCCCATGACTGGATCCCCCAAAAACCCAAAAAACATTATATAATAGAAATTTCCCTAAATTAAGAAATTGCTTTGCCAGGTGCTGGTGGCTCACACCTGTAATCCTAACTACTCAGGAAGCTGAAATCTAAGGATTGTGGTTCAAAACTAGCTTTGGCAGGAAATTCTGTGAGACTCTTATCTATGAATAACCACCAAAAAGTTAGAAGTGGAGCTGTGGCTCAAGTGGTAGAGCACTGGCCTTGAGCATCCAGGCCCAGAGTTCAAGCCCCAGGAAAAGCACAAAATATTTTTTAAAATATCCTCTCAAAGGAAAATTCTATGTTCTAGGGGGCAGTGGTAATTAAGGACCAATACTCTGAAGTTAGCTACAGTTTGGTACAAAAATGCTATATAATATGTAGTTTTGGCTGGGTATAATGATGTATACCTCTAATCCCAGAACTTGGGAAGCTGAGGGTATTATATTTCTCTGCATACTACAGAAAAGAAAAAAAAAACCAACCCATGAACAATGTATAGTAGATTTGCCAAACACTATAACATGAAGAGAAAGTTTAAAAGGCTGGCTCAAACTTCTCTTATAGTCTGAATATTGTAATTTATGATAATCACATTTTGGACTGATACTATTAGTTTACCATCTAAATGTTAACTGAAAATTACATATCTTTTTCTTTGCTTACATACATCATAAATGTTTTCTGGGAAAATCTTAAATATCACAGGAAAACAATAGAGAAATAGAAACCCTTGCAACCTTACTTTAAAGATTATTCCAAAAGAAACACCAGCAGCATCTCTCCTCATCCCACAGCCACACAGACCTATTATCTCTTACCTTGAACACAAGAATACGGAAGGCAGGGATCTCCAGATGGACACCCTTTGCGGTTCACTTCACAAAGCTCATTGGCTGGGCAAGGATTTGGGTTACAGGGGTGAGTCACTTCTTCTACAATACTACCTAAAGAACTTGGCCCTAGAAAAACAGCAACAAAATAGTTAAAGTGCATACAACTTTAAAGAGTAACAGAAGTCTGTAAGCTTTTTGAATTAATGAGGCTAGAATACATATGCAGAAAGGCTTGATCTTAATAAGCTATTAAAACAGATCATCATTTGTGATTTTAGCATAAAGAGGCTTTTATTCATTCTTTTATTTGTTGAGTACCTACAATATGGTAGACAAGATTCTAGATACAAAACAAGATACAAAACAAGACTGAGGTGGAGGTAGTGTGAGGCTTTGAGTTCAATATATATGTATTTCCCCCCCCCCCATAAATCCCAAATAGACAAGACTTTAACATACAAGTCTTTACCAAATATAAACAAATTTTTAAAATTTTTATTTATTTTTTATTGTGAAAATACTGTTCAGAGGGGTTACAAATAGATGGGCAAGATATTATTATTATTTTTTTTGGGGGGGTCTGGTCGTGAGGCCTGAACTCTGGGCCTGGGCGCTGTCCCTCAGCTCTTCAGCTCAAGGCTAGTGCTCTACCAATTGAGCCACAACACCACTTCTGGCCTTTTTTTTTTTTTGCTTATGTGGTGCTGAGGAATCGAACCCAGGGCCTTATGCATGCAAGGCAAGCGATCTACCACTGAGCCACCTTCCCAGCCCGGACAAGATATTATTTATATTTTGGTTTTTCTTTCCTTTTTTTTTTTTTTTTTGGCAGTCCTGGGGCTTGAACTCAGGGTCTGGGCACTGTCCCTAAGCTTCTTTTGCTCAAGGTTAACACTCTACCACTTGAGCCACAGCACCACTTCTGACTTTTTCTGTTTACGTGGTACTGAGGAATTGAACCCAGTGCTTCATGCATGCTAGGCAAGCACTCTACCACTAAACCACATTCTCAGCCCATAAACAAAATTTATATCTGGTAAAATGTGTTTACATCTGGTAAAGAAAGGACAAAACTCCACCTAAATATTTGTGTGCATATATAAATAAGGTAAACTCAGGTAACTCAATATTTTCAATAGGTTGATCAAATAGGTGCTTATGTCTAAGAGGGATAATCTGGATGCTTTACCAAACATGATAATCTATTATGGCAATATAAACCCTGTAACATTATATTTAACTTTGCAATTGTAACTAAGAGAAAGTCTCAAAGTATGATTCAAGTAAAAACTTTTCAAAGATTTTTCTCCTAATGAAGTAATGCCTTCTATACATATATGTGACTTCTGTATTAGAGTCCAGGGCTGTGACTATATTAATTTTGCCTGTTGTGGAAGAGCTCTTGGATTAAGTTCCAGCTTAATCATTCTGTGCATGGGGAATCTGAGGCCCAAAGAAGTAATCTGCTCAGTTACAGAGGCCTAGGCTTGTATTATTTATGTGAGGAAAGAAAGACAAAAGTTTAAGAGCCATAGTTTGTTAGTCTTGAAAGCATATACTAGTCTTGGCATATACTATCAGCTACAAATTCAGAATACACCCTTCTCTCCCTGTTTACTAATAAATCTCCAACTGTACTTAGGGTAACAATAAACTCATAACTAAAAAAGATAATTTTCCCAGTTTTTCTGTACAATTAGGGGTACCACCCAGAGTTAGCATATAGAAGCTAGAACCCGAATAGACCTGTGTGGTAAAAACACATGGAGTAACTTAAGATGACTAAAGTCAGGTGCTATGGAGGCCAGAAATCTGGATGCCTAAGATGGTATTTGTTTCTGGGCTATCTTTTACTTCTATGTTTTGTTTTGTTATTTAAAAATTTAATTCTATCTGCACAGGAAAAAAAAAAAAAGTAGGTAGACTTCACTGTCTGCTTTTCCCGCTAGCTCATGGCTCATGTGCCCCCTGGTGGCCGCCTGAACACTTCACACATTGTCTAACTCCTGACAGTAGGAGTTGCACTTGTTATGCCCAGCTTCCGGGCAAGGTCACACTGCTGCCAAGATGCTCAGCTCTAGAATCCCTCAATGACATACCAACATACTTCTGTAGCTCTTGGCAGCAGCACTTGGCAAACAGAAGCTAAATCAAGGAGATAAATTACGTTTTCCTGTGTTAATCCAAGCATCATTCTTCACTTTGAATTGAGTGAGTTTAAGCCAGGCCTGGCTCAGCTATATTTGGGTATATCAGAATATCTTCTGATAACAAAAAAGCTGAGGGAAATTTCACTTTCTGATCATATGATGGCAAAAATACAGTAAAGAAACTTGAGAATGATATTTGATTCTTTGCTTAGAATTCCTGACTGATCAGTTCACATTTTCTCACAATAATATAACATTTTTTTCCTGTTAGTTTTGAAATCTGAATTCCAGCCCTCAAGCCTGCTAGGTGTGTGCTCTAACTGCTAAATGACACCTCCAGCTCTTTTATCTGCTGGTAGGGTCTCTCTGCCTCTTTGGGTGTTTGCCTGATTGATATTCACCCATGTTAGGCTTCCAGGTAGGGAGGATAACAGGTTCTCCATTGAGGAGTCTCAAGAACTTTTCTGTATAGAGTAGCCTTGAACTACAATTCCAATAATCTACACAGCTCCCAAGTAATCCTAGCCCCGAAGTAGCTAGGATTACAGATGTGAGCTACCAGTGCCTGGCTTACTGCCACTTGTGCTTACAAAGTTTTAGATCAGGCTTACATGGGCCAAAAAGGGGCCAAGCAAATATGGTAAGCTTGTGTGACTGAGAAGGCATCATTGAACAACCCCTGCTCAATAGACAGATGCTCATGACTTTGAAATCTAAAAGCAAACACCAACAGTACTTACTGAGATACGTATCCAAAGGTATGCAGTTCTCTAGGTCATCTGTGGGTGACAGAAGCTCACAAATACTTTCAGCTGTGTGATCTTCAGGGAATCTGTTTTGGTCTCCACATTTTTTGAGAATCTCCACACAATCTGATCTTGAAAAGAAAAATGTACACAAATTTAGGGTTCAAGGAACCTTCTCATGTTGTTTGGTCAAAATTACATCAGTTCCTGAAGCTTTGAGTTTTCATCAATTAACAATGTTTCACAATTGGGTAAAAGGAAAGAAGAGACACAATAAACTTCCAGCTGCATAGTACACTCAAGGCATTCCTAACTTTCTATTATCTGAGATAAAAAATCTTGCTCAAATTTTACACTTTGTGTGTGAAGGGGATGGTTGGGAATTAAACCTAGGGCCTGTGGAAATAAGGCAAGCCCTCCACACTTGAGCCATGCCTTCAGTATCTCAAAGTTATACCTATCAACATGGCTTTTCATCATCTTTGAAAGGAAATTAAATTAAGCTATCTTGATTTGCCTTTTGCAAAACTATATGCCTTCACTTTCAAGATCTCAGATCTTATGCTTTCTTGTTTGCTTCCTTTCCCTTCTCCTTTCTCTTTTTAAACATCTTTTTTAGCTATCATAACTGGAAAGTCTATTACTATAAATTGTCTGAATGTTGAAGAAGAACTTGACTCCTTTCCTGCAAGTTTTCTGTGCTGAGAGTCCACGTATTTCCCACGGTTGCTTCTTGTTTATCATCTCCTAGTTACATCTCCTTGTCTACCTACTCAAGTCATCCTCAAGTGAAGTCAGAAAACAGATAAGGAAGCTTTTTAAGGTTGAAATAATATCTAATGGTCCATGAAGTACCAGCAGTTCTGAATCACTTACCAACAGCTTAGGGACTAAAAATTAATTTGGTCTTGGAAAAGCTTTAGGAACAAAAAGAGATGCTTGAAGAACAGCTACTGTAGACCACTACAGTTAACAGTTCAGTTTCACCTTTATCCTAGGTTGCCTAAGTAAGCCATGCAAAAATGTCTACTGAGAACAGGCCATAATGACTCTATCACTGCTCTTTCACTCTTCAAACATTTATAAGATACCTACTGTTTATCAAGATTATGTCAACATCTGAAGAGGAGAAAAAGAAAGAGAACAGAAAAATGTCACAAAAAAAGAACAGGTTCTTTAAGTAGAGCAAACTAATAGAATATAAGACAAGTTTAAGGTATACAAATAGAATTGTGCATTAAAGGTATTTAGTAAATGTTTCTTGAATTAGATTCCTTACAGAAGTACACTTTAAAGGCCTCCAGGAATATTTGTAGTAAGGATAAATTACTATCAGCTGGAGAAGTCTGGTAAAGACTCCGTAGGAATGTCTGGTATTTGAGAGGAGTTTGGACAGTCAGTGGGAATGGGAGGAACAGTAATCTAAGCAGAGGAGGATAAAATAGGAAAGCATCTGACAAACAGAGGAGTGAAAGGCAAAAGGAGGCTGAAGAAAAAAATTCTGTAAGAGAGGCTCTAGGTAGAGATCAAGGGTAGAAAGTGGGAGTCATGATAATGAAACTTACTTGCAAATAATACTTCCCCGAGATTTACTATGACAAGGTTTAATCTGTAGTGAACAAGCTATTGCTTTCCACATTTCAGGATGGCACTTTTTAATATCAAGAACAGGGATGTTGATGAATGGCATCTTTATACTTCCTTTCTCCCACAGCTTCATGTCATTCATGGCTCCTTGATCTGACTGAGCATTACAACTCCTGAAAAGTTCTGTTGGCCTAAAGAAAAAAAAGGAATCAATAATTATTTTCTCCTTGATCTTACTGAGCATTATAACTCCTGAAAAGTTCTATTGGCCTAAAGAAAAAAAAGGAATCAGCAATTATTTTCTAGAGAGAAGCAGAATATACTAGGGCATCAAAAATGTCTGAATTTCTTTTTTTTTTTTTTTTTTGTCGGTCGTGGGTCTTGAACTCGGGGCCTGGGCGCTGTCCCTCAGCTCTTCAGCTCAAGGTGAGCGCTCTACCACTTGAGCTACAGCGCCACTTCCGGTTTTCTGGTGGTTTATTGGAGATAGGAGTCTCAGGGTCTCTCCTGCCCGGCTGGCTTTGAACCGCGATCCTCAGATCTCAGCCTCCTGAGTAGCTAGGATTACAGGCGTGAGCCACCAGCGCCCGGCTGAATTTCTTAAAGAAGAAAGCACACAAAACCACCAAAGGACACCAGCTTTGAGTATTTGGGGATTCATATTGACACTAGCATTAAGATACTGATGAGGGCTGGGAATGTGGCTTAGGGGTAGAGTGCTTGCCTACCATGCATGAAGCCCTGGATTTGATTGCTCAGTACCACATAAACAGAAAAGGCCGGAAGTGGTGCTGAGCTCAAGTGTTAGAGTGCTAGCCTTGAGCAAAAGAGCTCAGGGATAGCACCCAGCCCCTGAGTTCAAGCCCCATAACTGGCACAAAAAAAAAAAAGATACTGATGGCTCCTTTTCTTTTAATACTTATTCTTGCAAAGCAAAATTTCGAAATGTTTTGGATAGGGCTAACAGCCCTTAGACAATTCTATTTCTTTCATTTCACAAAATAAATACTATGAATTCATGTTTGTTTGTTTGTTTGTTGCCAGTCCTGGGGCTTGAACTCAGGGCCTGGGTGCTACCCTTGAGTCTCTTTGTGATCAAGGCTAGTGCTCTACCACTTGAGCCACAGTGCTACTTTCTAGCTTTTCTGAATAGTTTATTGACGATTCTCACAGGGCCTTTTCTGCCCAGGCTGGCTTCAAACTGCGTTGCTCAGATCCCAGCCTTCTGAGTAGCTAGGATTACAAGTGTGAGCCACCAGCACCTGGCTCATGTTTGTTTTTTTAATCAGTCAAACTGGAGACTCGAGTTTTTAATGAATGCTAATAAACAAATATATTATATCCATAGAAGCCAAGAGGGAGAGGGGTGAAGTAAAAATTGCTCAAAGTTTACTAGCAAAGTGATAAATAAAAATTTGTGTTTCTAGGTTATGGAGGTTATCTTTCTTCTAGGGATCCTTTTGACACAAAAAAGCTAAACTGAAAGGGGAAGAAATCTGGGGGGCTAAGTGGGCTTCAGCAGCTGTGCAGACTCTTTTCAACCTGGTTCCACAGAAGACCTTGGTCTCCAAGTTTTAGGGCCCAGAAAGAGATTTGTGTAGGAAAATCCATGAGATTCTTATCTCCATTAACCAGCAAAAAGCAGGAAGTGGAACTGTGGCTCAAATAGTAGAGCATGGGCCTTGAACAGAAAAATTGAAATATCTAAGCTACAGTGACTAGGCTGAATTCATATGCCAGTACCAACACACACACACACACACACACACACACATACACACACACGCACACGCACACGCACACACACACAAACCAGATGTTGTATGGTAGATCTAGTCATAAGAAAAAAGCCACCACTTAAAAGGCCAAATTTGGAGTTTTTATTGGAGCACTAGTAGGCAGCAGAGGGACTCCAGTCACAAAGCCCTACTGCTTTGAATACAAGTAACACACGGCTTATATACCTAAAATTAGTGGGCTCTCAGAGAACCTTTTTTTGTGGATAATGACTACCAATATTGATCATATTACATATTAAAACAGGAAATTTAAAAGCAGTTACTAATTTATTTAAAATTGCAATAAACAAGCTGGGTGTGGTTACACACATCTGTAATCCCAGCACACAGAAGGCTGAGGCAAGGGGACTGAGTTAGAAGCCTGTGGTCTAGAGTGAGATGCCCTCTCCTCTCAATAGACAAAGAAAATTACAATAGACATTTTTTTTTTTGCTAGTCCTGGGGTTTGAACTCAGGGCCTAGGCACTGTTCCTAAGTTTCTTTTTGCTCAAGGATAGTACTCTACCACTTGAGCCACAGCACCACTTCCAGCTTTTTCTGTTTATGTGGTAGGTACTGAGGAATTGAATCCAGGGCTTCATACATACTAGTCAAGCACTCTACCATTAAACCACAATCCCAATAAACATTATTTATTAGTCCTTAGTAGAGGACTGCTAGATTTTCCTATCTGCTTCTGAATTCAGTCTTCGCTATTTCATATGTCTCACAGCCTCTGGAAAACTCCACTGCTGACTCTTGTGAGAATATAAGTGAGAAAGGCAAATAAGATCTCAGTATTGTTATTAAATTAGTAATTTGATTTCATAGACCCCTAGCATTTGGGAAATGCTGGAGGTATAGCTCAAGTGGTAAAGCACCTGCCCAGCAAGTGGTAAGGCCTTGAGTTCATACCTTAATAGTTAAAAAAAATCAAAACAACTGCCCCAGGTAATGATAAAACACATCCAGTCCATGTAAAATAATTTGTTCTTACCTATTGTTAAAATTAGTACAGTAAGTAAGATTTCTACAACCCAACTGGCAAGGTTCCCGGACATCTGCTAGACAGGTCAACATGGATACTTCCACTGGATTGTATTCACAAAAACGGTCAAACTCTTGCCAACTCTGTGCATTGCCCCAGCTCATGCTGTACAGTTTAGTGCACAACTCCCTGAAACAAAAGCACATATGCAGAAACAGAAGAGATAAACCAGATGAATTCTTCCTTCTTTGTTTATGTCAGGTATTTTGATATAGCAGCAAGAAAGTCACTAACATAATGCTAACACACTGCTATCCACACTCAAAATAAGTGTCAATTCAGATTACTCACTAATATAACAAATGGTGAGACAAGTTCAAAGTTGCATAATATAAGTAAGAGACCAAAACATCTTCTGAATTATAAAAAATGAGATACTGACCTACACGTTGAGGTGTTTGCTTTAGAACAACAATGCAATTTGGCTCCATCAAGGCCCGTTGAGGGAGGTGGGTGTATAGTGACTCCAGGGTGAACAGATTGTGAGCTTTCAAGAAAACATTGCCAAAGAGGATCTTGAGGTAAGGGCTGGGTCTTACAACCCTCGATGAGACCATCGACAATCTCCATTTCTGTTTTCTTAGACATCAAAATCCTCTTGCAGGCATTTTGGCAAGCATGGTCTTCAGCTCTGTCACAGCAATATAAACCTACATTTTCAGAATGTAAATGGTTTAATTAGGTGGCTTAATACTATGTTGTACTTAGAAAAGAAGAACTTGACAGCAGAGTGGAAAACATTGCTACTCTACGTCTGTATGTGCATTATACAAGGCCTGTTAATTTTTCTCCATTATTCCATAAAGTGTAACAAAAAGTGGAAAAGATATCCATTACCACAATTTATCACTGTCCCCAATCTTGGGACATTTAGTACCAACCTCACAAAAATGAAAAGTCATCTTACATCTCTTGTAAATCATTTTATGTTCTTGAAGATGATATTGTAGGCCAAAATGGACTTATTTCCTGATAGTAAATAATGTCTACTGGAGATTTTAATTTGTGTATTTATTTTTGTCAATTGTAGGGCTTGAACTCAGGGCCTGGGAGCTCTCCCTGAGCTTTTCTGTTCAAAGCTAGTACTCTACCACGTTCAACCACCACTTCACTTCTAGTATTTGGGTGGTTAATTAGGGATAAAGAGTCTTCACAGACTTTCCTGCCTGGGCTGGCTTCAAACGATGATCCTCAGATTTCAACCTCCTAAGTAGCTAGGATTAATCATGAGCCACCAGACATACTTGGTTGTGACTATTCTTAACGTGAGAGAAATGACTAATATTTATGGCAAAAAACCCAAACATTAGCCAGGTGCCGGTGGCTCATGCCTGTAATCCTAGCTACTCAGGAGGTTGAAATCTGAGGATCGCAGTTCAAAGCCAGCAAAGGCAGGAAAGTCTGTGAAACTCTTATCTCTGATAAACCACCAGAAAACCAGAAGTGGCACTGTGGCTCAAGTGGTAGAGCACTTGCCTTGAGCTGAAGAGCTAAGAGATAGTGTCCAGGCCTGGATGGACAAAAACAAACAAAACAAAACAAAACAACATTGTATTTCATTATATCCAAGATAGCACAACATTTTCAGACATCTGTGTAAGCTAATTTAAATAGTGCAATAGCATTTCTTTTTAGTGTTGGGGACTAAACCCAAAGCCCTCTACATGCTAATTAGTACATGTACTCTCACTGAATTATACTCCCAATTGTCTGCCTTTAATTTTCTACAAAGAATACGAAATGAAAGAACAGTTTTAACCAGCCAGAAGGGCCTCTTTGAGTTCTCTCAGGTGTCTTTGACTTTTGAAAAAAACTACCCTGCAGTGGTCTTTTTCATATTCTTCTGTGTTAAGATAGATGTTTGAGATGGTTGCTCTTCTCTTTAAGACCTCTTTTGGCCTTTTTAAAGAATTATTATCTTCTATTTTCTTAGCTCTACCAGTACCTCTGTGTAGTCTAAATGTCAGGAAACATAGATCTGCCTTTAAACAAATAAAGGTTATTGTGGCAAGTGCTTCATGCTTTGATTTTCACCACACAGCCACATCATAGAATGTCAAAAGCCTCAAAGAACAGATTTTAATTGTGGCCAAACAAGGCACATTGCTTTTGAGTTTATAAAAGCAAGTCTTTCAATATGCTGGCAAAAATCAAAACATTGTCTCTTGGCAGCTAATTAGTCAGTTCTGTAAAAATTTGATTACTTCTACATGAAGAAAATAGATTCCAGAATATTATTTAACAAGAAACAGACTTACTTCTAATTTTCATGAAATTTTAATTATTAAAATAATAACCACCTACTGATAAGTAACAAAGCATTATAGAAATATATAACATGGGCTAATTACATATATAATTAAAATATATCCCATTATACCTTTAATTCTGTAATTTGCCTTTTTTACTTAATTTATCTTAGACTTTTTTTTTTAGTACTGAAGCTTAAACCCTGGGTTTTGCACATGCTAGGCAAGCACTCTACTACATGAACTATGTACTCCCAGCCTTCTATAAAAATGTGTTCCTTTCTTCTTTTGTTGGTTGCAAAGTGTTAATATACAGATATAACATAGTTTATTTTTGTGTTTCTGCTAGTACCAGGACTTGAACTCACATTTTTGCTTGGCTTCTGGTACTCTACCACTTGAGCTATGCCTCCAGCCTGGCTTTGTGGTGGTTAAATGGAAATGGAATCTGATTTTTCTGCCTGGAGTTATTCTTCAGGTCTGTTTCCTGAATAGTTAGGACTATGGATGTGGCCTCCAGTGCCTGACATCATAATTTATTTAATCAACATCCTACTAATGGATGTTTGGGTTATTTCTAATTTCTTTCTATTATACCGATATGTGCATATACAACATATTCTTGAAAATTTGCCTGCTGGATAATTTATGAGAAATAGAATTGCTAGGTCAAAAGGTATGATAATTTGAGATTCTAGTGTTCATTACCCAACTTCCCTCCAAATTATCCATACCAAAGAACTCTTTCATTCTCAGACAGACTAGACAATTCCCATTTCTTCATACTCTCTACAGTTTCATCTTTCTTGGTACCTTTTAGCTGTGACAATAATGTCCAATCTGCCAAATCTGAACGTCAAAGTCAGATGTTTCCCTGGTGACCTAGACCACAGATATCTACAAGAATGTATCACTTCCTTTTATAAACTCTTACCAAGGATTGAAATAAGAAGAATATCTGCCTTTTACTTACTATCTGTTGGGTTCCTCATTGGATAGGACTGGGTATAATTGTTCACACAGTGTATTAATTGTGGACTAATAGAAGCACAATAATTCTCCACAGCTTTGATTTGAGATGGACCAGGAGAAGAGTCTGTTCGGAAAATGGCTTGACAGTATTCACGGCAGTTTGTGTGATGGCCTGCATAACTGCAACACACTGAGCCCACTATAGGGAGGAAAAGATCATGGAAACAGCTTTTTGTTAACATGAAGTTATCAGCATAATGACATCTTTCTGTCTGAATTTGAGAAATAAAAATATGTCATGCGAGACAAATATTGCACTATTGTGGGTATAGTCATGGGGACATTCAAGTGTTCACTGATATAAGAAAGTTAGTGTTCATTGACTTATAGTCTACAGTCCAATAGACCTTAACAGGAACAGTAAGGAATGTGGAAACATTCCTGGATGTCATGGTGATTTGGAGACAGCTGCTACCATTTAATGTATAGAGGCCAGGGTCAGTAAAGGTCTTGAAATCCACACAGTAATTTCATGCAAGTAAAACTATCTTTACAAATGCCAAAAGTCCCCATGTTGAAAATCACTGAAATAGCTTCTTTTCATATTTGAGCAAAACAAAATAGAAATAATAAAATCCCAAATGCCTTGCATTTATAAAATAGGACCAATAAAAACTGAGATATCAGGATAATCTAATAAATTTAATATCTTTATAACTGTACATCACCTGCAAGAATATGGCTAAATGGAGAATAGTCTTCACAATAGATATGATTTGCCCCAATACTGAAAAGTAAGTCATCTGAAATAAGATGACTCTGGATTTATGATTTTTAAAAAAATCATTGGGGCTAGGTATGGTATATGCCTGTAAATTCCAGCAGTCAGGGGGACTGTGACTATGAGGCCAGACTGGGTGAGTTCTGGGCCGCTTTGGGCTATATAATGAGATATTTTATATATAATGGGTTGCCTTTAAAGCATCTGGACAGAAGGAGATGAGTGGTTAGGAGTCAGATGTGGGAATCATAATAAGGGCAAGAGCTTCATTCCTAGCCCCATAAGAATTATTTATGGCCATATTTTAAACCTCAGTGGAGATACACAAGGGGTGGTAGTGGAGAAAGGTAAGCACAGAAAAAAACAAGGCAAACAAGATAGTTATCTTCTAATTCCCATTACCCTCGTTTCCCAGTCATTGAGGGAGGAGCTAAGATTACATGCTAGATGCAATTTTGGAAATCTTGAATGAAGCCTCGGTTTGGAAGGGTAGAAACTATAGGCATGCTTATTGTCCTTCAATATACCTTTCTGCCAAGCTAAATAGTTACTGGTTACTCAGGGTATCTTTTCTCATCGCTAACTACTGTTATCCTCTGGTCTCGACTGTTCACATCTTATCCATTCTTCAAGGCCCAGCTCAGCTACCGACTCCATGAAGTCATCTGTAAGCACTCATAAGACTGAACCTTTTTCCTCTGATTTATATCACTTTATAAGTGTGCTATCACATACCCTACCATGTCCTAGAGTCCCACAGAAGTATGCTACCCCACATCAAATAAACACTCAATAAATGCCTGCTGAATGAACTCAGCTGCAAATCCTTAGCAAGGACTATATTATATAATATGGATGTGCTTAAACTCTGAAAGTGTAATAACTCTGTTATCAGGTTATTACTAGCTCAAGTGTCTCTGCTTTATAAATCATGTTATAATACATGAATGACTTGAATATGTGAAAAGAGCCCAGCAGAATGCTGCTGTGCACATTCCTTCAGATGGCTTATTAACAAATACAAGTTATAATGCCAGGTTCTTGATAATGGGTACAACTGCTAATCATGCTCAGCAAACTGTATTGATGTTATACTTACTTTCATTTCTGCTAATACAACTGAAAAGAGCATTCTGTAAACCAAGAAAAACAAAAAGAAATTAACAACCAAAAAGAATTTCTAATTTTATTCAATTTTAGGTTTATATGCAAATCAGGTTATCAAATTGTTCAATTATTTTCTAAGTCCAAGGTTGAAAATGCAGAAGCTATGATCTTCTAACACATATTGGTGGTCAAAATCTTAACCTCCCAATATGAACTTGGAAGGTGACATGTTATAAAACAGATTTATTTCATGTGTGAATGTGTATATGTGTGTGTGTTATAGGAAGAGTTACAATGTTCTAATATCAATTATTTTATAAAACACTTTCCAGAAAATAATCCAATAAAGAACATTTAGGGAAGTAAGCTTTTCATACAACCATCTTAGTAGTTGTCAAACACGGCTGGATGTACAATGGAATCACCTGAGCTTCCCAGGCATTTCTCTATGGAATTGGAATTTGTGGGAGTGACACAGAAATCCAGGCAGGCACTCTACCACTGGAGCCATGCTACCAGCCCCTGGGGCACAAAATCTAAATTTTACACATGACTTCAAAGATTGTTCTATGTAGCCTTCTTCTTGAGACCAAAATTTGAGAGAAAATATTTCTCAGCAACAGAAAACTTGCCATAGACCATAGAAAAAATCAAAAGCAGAGCCTGATACTAGAATTAGTATCAGAAAGACATCTTAGATTACAATTCAGAAAACACTATTCTGTGTTAAGGTCACTGTAAGAAAAATAAAACAAGAAGGAAAACCTAATGAAGAACTCTTTGCTCAAAGTCATTTGGATATTCAGGTCTTTCCAGCTATGATTAATGTTATTTATAATTGAAAGAGAGTGAATTATTATCATCATTATGTGAATATAAATAAAAATGGATGGAAAACCAATGCACTCTTATTGAGTTGATTTTAGCTTTTAACTATAATACAGCTAAATCACTTCCCCACTAAGTGATTTGAACTTGTTAAAGAACTAGGTCTATAACATTAAAACCTATTTCAAAGATACATCTACATGGTTAGAACCACTCTACTGCATTCATTTTCTCCACTAAATAGTATTCCATTAAAAGAACCAGACAACTTAGTTCATTCATTTAAAGAAAGCAAATAAACAAAATAAAAACAACAACAAAACCCTAGGCCTGATAGATAGGGACTATTGAATTTACCCAGTCTGAACACTTTCTGCTAGAGCTTCTCAAGAAGTATGAGTAGTGACAAGTATTTTTAATGTTCTTCACTAATGACCTTGTTTATATTCTCTTCACTCATGCATCCTTGTTTTGTTTTAATTTTTTATTGTTATTATAAAGGTGATGCACAGGGCTGTTACAGTTACATAAGACAGGTAATGAGTATATTTCTTTTTGGCCAGTGTCACCTCTTTGCTCACTCTCTCCCAGATTTTCCCTCCCATTCTCACCCACAAGTTGTATAGTTCATTTTCAACATAAAGCCTAATCAGTACCATTGCTGCATTTGTTCACCCTTTGTCCTTCCAGTTCTGCATCCCCCTTAACCCTCCCCAAGACAAATAAACAAAACAAAAAGAAAACAAAAACAACAATGAAGAAAAAAATCCTCTTGTTTCCATACATTTTTGTTTTGACTTTTCAACTACCCAACATATGTTGCCCTCCCCTGGGGTCCAATGGCCTCAGGAATACTTATAAAATAATCTAGATCACTAGTAAAAAGTCATCTGCTACCAACTCTGTATACTCTTTTGACTGGATGAATGCAATTCTATCTAATTGTCCTTCTCTTTCTAATAAGCTCATTCTATTCATCTTATTTAAGAGCAGATCAAACTACAGTAGTACTCAGGTAAGGATCTACCATAACCCGAGACCTAGATGAGAGCTACCTAGCTAGGCCTTAGGTTCTTGAGAAATAATAAATTATTATTGCTTTAAGCTATATAGTTTGAGATGTTTTACTATATAACATTACTGTGACATCAGATATAATACTCAGTGTTTTTCTACTCAGTTATAGAAAGGTATACAGGATTCTACATAAAATTAACTGGATAATTCAAGTGGTCAAGTGAAAAGTACTAGATAAAAACTGTGTCTAAGCTGGATGCAGTGATGCACACTTGGAATCTCAACTACTCAGGGAGGTAGGAAGAAGGTGAGAGAATCATTTTAACCTACAAGTTCAAGCTTAACCTGGGAAACATGGTGAGACTGCCTAAAGTTGTTTTTTTGTTTTTGTTTTATCTGTAGAAGAACTATTATACTACTTACAGGCAACAACTTTTTGCTCACCCCTTAAGTCTTACCTGGATAGTTTTCTCCTCTATATCCCAAAATGTCTTTACAGACTTTTAGCAAGGTACTTATCTCACTAAATTTGTAATGTTCTAGAGTATAGACTAAACTTATGAGCTTCTTGTAGACAGTGGCCAAATACTTTCATCTTTGTGCCCTGGGAACAATTCCTGATACATATCAAATGTATCAGTTTGGTGAGTGTTAAATAAATGAATGAAAATAGAAACAGGCAATCATATGGATTTTGCTCTAGGAACTCAAGAGGTAAAAAGAAATACATAAACACATTTACACTTTCAGGCGACTGATGCCATGATAAAGCATGTAAGAAGTAGCCATCGATTTTATGTGTATTGAAGGAAAAGAGGAAAAGTTTCTAAGAGGTGCCATCTAAGCTAGAATTTGAAGCAAAGGTTACTAGTGAACAGGGTTGTGGGAGAAATAGAGTGTATCAGGGAAGGAGAAAAGTCCTAGTTTGTATTACTTGTTGATATTCATGTTATAAATACCCCTACCCACAAGGTAGTTTCAAGCTATAAACTGACTTGCAACACTGGATATGTAACAATCTTCATAGCTGATAGAAACCAACTTGAATATACCATTAGATGTGGGGGATCCAGGTAGAACAAACAAGTCATACAACTAACAAATAAAACAACATGGTCAATCTGGAAAATTACAAGTACCATGTCGCTAAAGTATAAAGAAGGGAAAAGCCAGGAGCTAGATTGACAAAAGTTTGATATACCAGGCTGAGCCACTAAAGGTTTCAAGGAAAAGAGTGACACATCAGATTAGTAAAAAAAACCATTCTAGGAAAAGGAGGAGATGGTAGAAAAAAGGAGAGTTCTTAGGAAAACTGGTTTGACATCTAGTAAAGTGGAATAAAGGTCTGAGCTAAGGCAATAACCAAGGATCTGGAAAGGCTGCTGACAAAAGATATATTTAGGAGGCATATCTTTAGGATTTGATAGCTAGTAATTGGTAAGAAATAATTTTAAAAATAGATAATAACTACTAGGCTCTTAGTAGGTTATCTGGAAGGACTTATTATATAATCCAATGAAAAATATAAGAAAAATGTCATTTCCATTTTAGAATGTGAGTGTGTGCATATGTGTGAGCATGGTGTTTTACAGAGGTAGGGGAAAGAGAAGGGAAAGTATAGTAGAAAAAGCAATAATCAATTTGGTGGATTTGGAACCAATCAATTTTGGCAAATTTGTTATTGTTCTAATAGAACATAAAAAGCAGGCCTATCTAATAGTGGTTTCAGTAGCTCAGCAGAGAAGATTCTGGAATTATCATTATGTAGAGGTAATTAAAGCATTTAAGTTAGGCTCAGGATATAGTTGAATAGTGCTCCCAGTATCACAAAAACAAACCAACAAACAAAACTCTGACATTGCCCAGTAGGAAAAAATTGACCATTTAAGATCAGACCAGATAACAATCTAATCTGATTAGATTTCCCTTTGGGGATGATCTCATTCAAGTAACTTTTTAAAGAATGGCCTGGAAAGGAAATACACTAGCAGCAATAGGAGTCACTCCTGTTCTCAATTTATAATACAAAACAACATACAGGAAGGATATAATCAAAGTGTTACACTATCTTAAGCCAGTACTGCAGGACCTAATAGGTTTCGCTCTTTTTGGAGCTCATCAGCTGCAGGTAACGGCTCAAATGTACTCTGGTACTGTATACCTGTACAGCATTTTAATATTTACAAAGCCTCCATGTACAGATTTCTAATTTAGTTTTACTCCAATAATTCTTGGTATTTCTTTAGCATTAACTAAAGCAACACTTTATATTTAGGGCCTTAAGGCTATGCTAGGGCAAAGTGATACATGATTTTATTAATATTTATTTAGGTGCTACCAAGGGCCTCTGAGCTATTGCCCCACCCACATAATTCTTTTGGTTAAAACAGCCAAAAGCGGACAGAGTGAAGGGTAGTACAACTGTTCCTTGCTATACAAGATGGTGTCTTCTATTCTTAAAATCATGGCAGTCCAAATCTAATCACAGTGAAGCTTAGGAGCCTTACATGCCCATACTAGGGCCCTGTCATCCCTTCTTCCTAATCATTAAATTAGACTACTTTTTGTTTTTCTTTATGTTTTTGGTATTAAGTCTAGAATCAAGGTTAACAACAAAAATAAGCAAAAATAAATAAATCTTGAAGCAGAACATTTTATTGTGGTACTTCCTGAGGTTACACTGTACAGACCTTGTGGGTATATACAAATATATGTCACTTATACTGGCATCCAGAGGCAGAACAAAGTGTATAGTAGGCTACCATATGTGGTACAAGCAGATAGAAAAGGACTGTTTATACATGTACACTTTTATGTGCTTAATTATCTTTGGTAACATTAGGAACTTGGTGGTTGTAGTATAAGAAATGGGAAATAAACTTTTGGTTATAACCATTTTGTTTTTTTCTTTTTTGTGAAGGTCCTGGGGCTTGAACTCAGGGTCTAGGCACTATCCCTGAGCTTCTTTTACTCATGGCTAGTGTTCTACCATTTAAATTACAACTCTACTTCTGCCTTTTCTGTAGTTTGTTGGAGGTAAGAGCCTTATAGACTTTCCTGACTAGGCTGGCTTTGAATTGCGATCCTCAGATTTTAGCCTTCTGAGTAGTCAGGGTTATAGGCATGAGCCATAGGTGCCTGGCTTAATAACCACTTTGAATTTTAAACCATATGACTATCTAATATCTGTATATGTCTTATGCACTTAGTGCATAGTGTTCACAGGTGGTGCTGACAGAGCTGCAACTTGAACTGACAAGGTTGACTGTCTTTGGTTTTGTGGGTTTACAAGCCCCTTCAATATCCTCAGTCTTTTGTTGTTGTCAGTTGTGGGGCTTGAATTCTGGGGTTAGGCTCTGTCCCTCAGCTCTTCAGCTCAAGGGAAGCACTCTACCACTTGAGCCAGAGTGCTACTTTCAGTTTTCTGAGAGGTTTATTGGAGGTAAGAGATGGACTTTCCTGCCTGGGCTGGCTTTGAACCTGATCCTGAGATCTCAGCCTCCTGAGTAGCTAGGATTACAGGTATAAGCCACCAGCACCTGGCTTCAGTCTTCATTTTATCTTAGTATTCTCATAGAACCAGAGCTTCATGACAGAATGAACATCATTAAGGTGTTGTGAGGTTGGAAAATGGAATTCAGGTGCCTGGTTAAAGCTGTGAAGTAATGAGATATTTTAATTTGGGATTCATAAATCCATTTCATACTTTAATATCAGAAATCAGATATTTATGGGTTTTTGTTTTTTTTTTTAAAGATTTTTCTCTTGACTTTCCTTTATATTCTTTTTGCCTTTTACATCTTGACTTTCTTCAGAAATTTGATATTATTTCATTAAGGAAGATGAGAGATTATAAAGGCAAGTCACTAGGAGGTATTTCAGTGAAGCCTTTTTTACAAAGCAATTGAATTTTAAGCAAAATAGTTGCTATTATAACTAAAATATTCTGACATGGAGCTCTGGGCATTCTATAGTTTCTAAAAATTAAGCTAGTGTTTTAAATTGTCTTCACCTGGAAGACTAGTCTAGCTACCAGGTCTGCCCCATTCCAGAAAGAGAAAAACTATATAGTATCTCCATGCCCTGGAAAATAGTAAATCAATGCAAGGACACAGGCTTAAAAGAATTAAAAGAATTGCTAGTCTATCTTCTTAAATGTCATTTACAATATTTAGTCCATCATAACATATTCTTCCTTCAAATCTCTGACTTACTTTTGAATACTTGACTGTATTGCTATTCTGGTGCTGAGTCTTATCTCTTTTTAGCTAAGCTAGAAAGCTAGATGGGTTTAGAGAGTCTAAAATTTAGTCTGTACACACTAGGAATTTAAACTTTCTAAAATATTGGAGATTATATGTCTATATACAGGCATATATATACACCTGTATACACAGAATCTTCATCATGAATAGTTTAACTCATTATTAAATGTGTTGAAATGTCAACTTTCCAGGATCTGATCCCACTTGCGTACCCAAACACAGATACTCAGTCCAAAACAGGCCTGTCTTCTCTTTGTCCCCTAAATCAACCATTTTTATTAACATGCCTTTGATTCACAGTCTTATTAACCAAGTTATACCAGTCCGTTCAGGTGTTGCTTTTTTGTAAAAATTTCCCTGATAACTCTGGACTATTTGCTCTGATTTCCCTGAGCCCTTGTATACTGCAGTACATATTTTAATTAATTTACTCAATTACATATAATTCATTACTTGAAGTTAGGCTCTAAGCAGCTTAATTAGAAATCTAACCAAAGTCTGATTCCAAAAGTTGTGTTTTTCTATTACATAAACTGTCTCTCCATGTTTAATAAATACTATCAATGTGTATAAGGAAAAAAAAATCACTCTACAGAATCTAATGTAACAATGACTTACACATAACTGGTTTATCCTTAGTTGGTTAGAACAAAGCAGAACTGAAATGAATTATGTTTTTTAACTTCATTCATTTAAGTAAATATCTTAGGAAATTCCTTCAAAAAGGAACTCTGCAGCAGTTTTCCAAATGTAATTACCCTACTCTCTGAATCTTTAATCAGACTACACAAAACTATCATTCAGGGTAAATGCTACCCCTAAAATTGTATGCCTAAAGGAATGGCCTAAACATCTAAACTCAGCCAGGGAGCAGTCCAGGGGTGAGGAATAGAAACTAAAAGTTCAGTTACAAGTTATTTTCACACTAATAAATAATCAACAAGTTAAAAGAGACTATGTTACCCCCAAACTTACTCAATTTACTTCATGGAAAATAGGCATTATTTCTAAACTGACTTCAATGCTAACTTCTTTAAAGTTTATAATGAAGAACCATTTTCTTCATAAATTGTTGTCATCTCTTTTTATTTCTAAATAATGTATAAGAAAATCAAACTAAATCTTGAATTATCTTGAATAATTTGTAGGGTCAGTTTTTAACATAAAAATAAAAAAAAAACTCTTACCATGTACACTTTTAGAAAAGGACTGAATAAACTGGGGAAACAAACTGTTCTTATCTCTATCATAGGACAGTGTTTAACTCTCTTACCTTCCTGTCCCGTCTTTCATCAACACATATTGGCAGCCTTCTCAGGGCAATGTAGAATCCAGACAAGAGAAGGAAGCACACTAAAATAATGGAGGACAGACTACAGGAGACAGACAGTGTCAGACATTGTGTAGAAGAAAATAAGGAATTATCAGTTAGCTACTCTTCTCAAGAGAAACTAAAATTGGTAACTTAAAAGGTAGAAGACAAGAAACAGAAAAGAAAAAGACTCTATAGGGTTTTTTTTTTTTTGGTTTGTTGTTTTGGTTTTTTTGTGTTTTTTTTTGTAGCAAGGTTTTTAAATAAGAACTGAAGACAGCTGTAGTTAATTTGGAAATTTATCTTCAGAAGAACAGATAGAATTTAGTAAATCATACAAAGGAACAAAAATAAATAACTCTAAGTTTAAAAATGTTAATCAAGAGATATAATTATAGGCTTTGAGAAACAAAAAGATTAGAAACTGTAACTAGAAGCATCTTAGTGACTGTAGGTTTCTTTTCTAAGAGAACAGACTATTAAAAGCAATAGGAATCTTAATGTTTAAATATAAAAATGATGAATGTGGCATGAACATTTAAGTCTCCTAATGGCCTTACACTAGGAAAAACAATAAAATTGTCAGATGTAATAATGGGGTTCCCAAAAATGAACAAATCAGCCCACAAAAGAAACTTTTCCTATCAAGGACAATCATCTATATCTATCTTCTTTTTTGTGTGTGCTGTTCCTGGGGCTTGATTTCAGGGCTTGGGGCATTGTCTTCTTTTGCTCAATGCTAGCATTCTACCACTTGATCTACAGTGCCACTTCTGGCTTTTTCTGAGTAGTTTATTGGAGATAAGTCTCAGACTTTCCTGCATGGTCTGGCTTCCAACTGTGTTCCTCAAGTCTCAGTCCCCAGTGTAGATAGGACTACGGGTATGAGCCACCAGTGCTTGGCTACTCCTATGTTCATTATGTAAAACCACCTCCTTTACTCTCATTCTAATATTTCTCCCATTTATATATCACTGTGCTTGAAATATCATTCAGAGATAAGAGTTTCAGATTTAATATAACCTCAATAACTTAGGTTTTGTTGTTGTTTGTCGATCATGGGGCTTGATCTCAGGGCCTACGCACTGTCCCTGAACTTTTCTGCTCAAGGCTAGCACTCTACCACTTTGAGCCATAGCACCACTTCCAGTTTTTAGTGGTTAAGTGAAGATAAGAGTCTCACAGGGACTTTTCTACCTGGACTGGTTTCAAACCACAATCCTAGGTATTAGTCTCATGAGTAGCTAGGATTATAGGTATGAGCCACTGGCTCCCAGCAGTATTTGTATTTTCCCAAATGTAAGATCTTAAGAAAGTCTAATGTTACAATAGCCATGTGATTTTATTATCTGTTCTCCCTTCCTTCCCCTTCTTCCCCCTCCCCTCTCCTCCATTATCTTTTTTTCTTCCTTCCCCACCTACCTCTCTCCCTCTTCCCTTATCTTTTCTGCTTCCTTCCCTTCTTCCCTCCCCACCATACTCTTTCTTTCCCTTGCTCCCTTCCTCCTTCCTATTTTCTCTTTCTTTCTTACTTTTGGAATAATTCAGGTTCTCTCACTCTAGAGCTCTACCACTTGAGCCATGCTTCCAGTCCTTGTGCTCTTAATTAGTTTTTCTAATAAAACCTCACACTTTGGTTCAGGCCCACACAATCATATCCAAGCCTTATAGGTTTACACATTTTTTTTGGGGGGGGTCCGGTGGTGGGGCCTGAACTCTGGGCCTGGACGCTGTCCCTCAGCTCTTCAGCTCTACCACTTGAGCCACAACACCACTTCCAGCTTTTTTCTTTTTGCTTATGTAGTGCTGAGGAATCGAACCCAGGGCCTCATGCATGCAAGGCAAGCACTCTACCACTGATCCACCTTCCCAGCCCTACACATTTCTTTATGTTAGAACTAGTTTATAAAAATAGATGCCTAAATTGGTCCTGAGACAGAAACAGGGACAAAAAAGGATATGAGACTCTATTAAAGACAACAACAACAACAACAAAAAACTTATTTCACCTCTTTAGTACTGTTGCTTTGTTACAAAAACATCACAAACCTTTTGTATGTAAAATTTCTTTAAAATTAACAATTCATTTCAACTAAAGTTAATTAAAGCCAAAACATTTCCAAACAAAATAAATGACATTTTTTGTTAAAGCTAAATTTTCTGCAAGGTTAAAAGGCAATTTATATAAAAATTCATTTAATATTGAAGTGATTTTAGCTAGGTGCTGGTGGCTCCATACCTACTACTCAGGAGACTGAGATCTGAGGTTCATGGCTCAAAGTCAGCCTGGGTAGGAAAATCTGTGTGACTCTTTATCTCCAATTAGCCACCAAAAAGCTAAACACAGAACTGTGGTTCAAGTGGTAGAGCACTAGCCTTCTGCAAAAAACCTAAGCGACAGTGACTAAGCCCTCAATTTAAGTCCCAGTACTTGTATGTACACACACACACACACACACACACACACACACACACACCACACACATTTAAGTGATTTTAATTCTGATAACATCTAAATAGTACATCCAAATTTGCTACATAAAATGCTTACCTCATATTCTTTTCTGCAAATTTTAGAAATATCATTCTTTGAAGATGCCTAAAAGCCAACAAAATCTTTATTAATTTGTTACACATAGGACAAAAAGAGGACACAAATCAGTATATGTTAATTGCTGGTGTAATATTCTTTATTTCATCAAAGAAAACCTTATACTCAAATATTTAAAAGTTCCTAAAACAAATTTCATGCAATGTCTTTAAAACAAACATCATCCTAGGACCTATCCAATATGCTAGAGCTTCATTCTAACTTTTATGGTTTTAATCTCACATAATAACATGGTTCTTTTGTTATTTTGGAAACTAGATGACTTTGAAGGAAATGTAAATCAGAAGATTTTTTTTAGACTGAATTCCACTCTGGTGAATTTTCTTGTGAAGCTCTGCCATAGCAAATTTTCTTGTGAAGCTCTGCCAGGGGCACTCATATTTTGCTTTTTTTTAAACGCTTCATATTTGAAGATTTATACTGAACCTATCCAGCCAATTTCCCAGAGAGGGCAACTAAAGAAGGAAAGGGTATCATGGCAGGCAATTACAAAAGTTACTTTTATTTAATTCTCTCAAGTTTATGATGAAGATATTATTCCCTCTAAAGACAGTGACTGGGACTCAAAGAAATAGCAAGTTAGTTATCACAGTTAAGTACATAGTTCAAACAAGCCAAAATAAATCTGCTGAGAGATGGTTATTTATGACATGACATCAGTCTCCATTTGAGACACATAGTTCCAGAACCATGGACTCTGGTCCCATGTTTATTTCCTCCTATTCTGTCACCTAGAGTCAAGCAACTTGAACAAGATAGCTGATGAAGACAGGGAGGGCAAGAAGCAGAATGTATGAATAACTGTTTTATGTCCCATCAGATCCACTATAGTTCAAATACCGTACAACTGAGTTTTACTTCGATGTCTGGAAGAGAACAGCACATGTCTAGGCCATATGCTGCCCAAAGAGTATTGCCCAGGCTATCAGTACAGTATTGTGTGGAAAAGTGAAGGTAATACTCTATCTCATAACTCCAGAGACCAATCCTTAGAAGATAAGAGAAGGCTCCCCAGCTGAAGCTTCTGATCCATTTAAACACCTAGTTTTTCAATTAAGTCTACACCTACTACATGGAGTAGAGAAGCCAGGAATCCAGTTTTCCTATTCTGAAGAGCCACTATGGAAATAAGCAGTAGAGAACTCTGGGTCCTAACATGAAGACAGATTGTATTAATTACTGTAGAAATCATACTCTTCTTAAGAAGTAGAGAAGGGATGGTAGAAGAGACAGGCTTAGGGTTAAAGCCAAGATGCAGGGGGAAGAAAGATAAAAACAAAATAGTCATCTGGTGAAACTGTGGTCATCCCCCTACCTTAAATTTATATGGCCCTTTGGAGTCACCCAGCATCATCAGGATGACCTAGACAAAGTATTAAACCCCTGATTCTAAAATAAGTCCTTTCTTTGTGTGGCAGAGAGGAGAAGTAAGAAAGAATAAGACAAAGTTTAGGGTCTTACATGAAGCTGCCAAAACTGAAAAAGCATTAAGTAGAAAAGGAGCACTTTTTGTGTGTTATCTCTCTTAAGCTAAGGAGCTAAGTGTTATCTCTCTTAAGCTAAGGAGCTAAGGTCCAAAACATATGCACAGTTAAGTCCAAAATGCATTCCATGATGTTTAAAAGTCTGATTGCTAGGTGTTACCTGCTTGCATGCCTGTCGACACTCCAAAGCAATAGCCAGTTCACAGCAGCCTAAGCCAACCCAGCCATCAGACTTCTTAAACACACCTTAAAAACAAAATGTTCACAATGGTCATAAGTAGTGACAAAGACAAATAGTATACCAAACTGTTTCAATGGATGCCACTGAAAGTCAAAGCAGATGTTCATAGGAAACTAGCTCCAACAGCAGGGTCTCAAAATTAAGTACTGTCCTTCACTCTTATTCCCAACGCTATTAGTCTCTTCTCTCACACACAACATAATTTATCAGGTCTTTATTTTTTTTCTTTTTCCTACTTAATCTAAATTCTCTTTAAGTTATTTTTACTTTGTATAGCATCTCTATCAGAGGACATATATAGTTCAAGGAAAGCAAAGGAGAAGACTCTTCTTAATTTTTCAATTTAATCAGACACCAAGGTTCTATTTTAATTTAATAAGCAAACAAAAGAGATGTCTTTTATGTCCAACATAATAAATACATAGAAGAACATAAAACTGGGGGCTGGGAAGGTGCTCAGTGCTAGAGCACTTGCCTTGCATGCATGAGGCCCTGGGTTCGATTCCTCAGCACCACATAAGCAAAAAGAAAAAAGCCGGAAGTGGCGCTGTGGCTCAAGTGGTAGAGCGCTAGCCTTGAGCTGAAGAGCTGAGGGACAGCACCCAGGCCCAGAGTTCAGGCCCCATGACCAGACCCAAAAAAACAAAAAACAAAAAAAAAAAACCCTCATGATTCTGCTTGAAACTGATACTTAGAAAACATGTACAAATTATCTGTGTAAGCCAAGCTTTGCTTTTAATGGGCACATTTAATCAGGGGGCAAAATGATAATACCATTTGGGATAATTGATGCAACCAACCCAACCAAATTATCATGAAATCAAGAGATAAGAAAATTATTAAGACTTTTAATTTGTTTTAGAGCCCTTTGAAATTATAAATCCCAACGAGTGACTGCTAAATTATGAGATACAAGAGATAATTATGGGGGGAGGTGCGAGATGGGAAGGGATGGGAAGGAAAACAAAGGAGGAGGCAACAATGCATGATAAGAAATGTACTCAATATCTTGCCCTCATTATCTTGTAACCCCTCTGTACGGTATTTTCACAATAAAAAATTAATTAATTAAAAAAAGAGATAATTATGAAAAGAGAAAAAACATGCATGTAGAACATTCTAAATCCTCTTTTTTTAAAAAAAAGTATGCTACTTCCTTGTAATAATACAGATCTGCAAATCCACATTGTCATATTATTATTTATATTAAAGAATATCAGACTCAAGGCAAAAAGTAAAATAGTTCTCCAAAAGAAACTAGCAGTAAGCTGTGTGCTGGTGGCTCATGCCTGTAATCCTAGCTACTCAGGAAGCTGAGATTTGAGGATCATGGTTCAAAGCCAGCTCAGGCAGGAAAGTCTGTGAGACTCTTATCTCCACTAAACAGCTAGAAAACCAGAAGTGGTGCTGTGGCTTAAGTGGTAGAGTTCTAGCCTTGAGCTGAACAGCTGAGGGACAGCATCCAAGCCCAGGGTTCAAGCCCCATGACGGACAAAAAAAGAAAAAGAAAAAAAAAAGAAAGAAATTAGTAGTAAGACAACAAATGGAAGTATTCCATTAAAAAACAAAGCAAAATGAGCAAAAGCAAATAAACAGTTTACCCATAAACAAAATTTTCAAAATATAAATTATTCTCAAAGTTTGTTAAAATCTTTTTTATTTGTGTTTTAGGAGTTCAAAGGGCAATAGACTGATCTAGCCTATTAGCATATTTTTTTGGGGAAAAAAGCAGATCCAATATTTTCCAACAGGACAGTCAATGGAACTAGAAAGGAAAGAAACTGAAGATAATATGCAGATTTTTTAGTATAGTGTCTTTACAAAAGGAGCAATTATGAATTTAATTTTGGTTTTGCACTTCAGTGCCACTGGGATGTAAAAATTCAGATATAGGTGTCTATTAGTCATTAAAAAAACAACAACAACTAGATTTGAGAGTTCCCTTCCAACCTGGAGCTGATTAGTTAACAGTTCTGGCAAAGACTGTTACCAGAGTGAGTGTGGAGAGAGAAGGGAAGAGTTCTGTACACAGGATGCAGTTCTTATGACAGGAGGAGAAAGGTAAGAGAGAACAAGGTTCTAAGACCAAGATGAAATCCTAAAATGATCAACAAGATCAAGTGTTGCAAAAGGCTCCAGTCACTCACATCTATAATCCCAGGTGCTCAGGAGGCTAAAGTCCAGGATTATGGTTTAAAGCCACCTTGAGCAGAAAAGTCCAAAAGATTCCATCTCCATAACCAGCAGAACAGCAGGGCTAGAGGTACGGTTCAAGTGGTAGAACATCAGCTGGGCAAGCAACCTGGGAGAGCATGAGTCCCTGAGTTCAAAACCCCAGTGCTAACCCCCAGACAACCCCCCCCCAATCAAATGTTAGAGAGAAATCAGAGATAAATACTGAGAAAAAGACATAAGATCTAGGAATCAAGACATTTTAGTATATGTCAAAGACTGGGTTTAGAATCATAAAAGATAAGAGTACACTGTTGAGGACTGAATAGACAAGAATAAATTAGACATTTGAAAATTTAGGTGCTAAAAGGAAGAAGATAAAAACTCCAGAAAACATTAGATTATGAGACAAAGATTTTTACATTCATCAAAATTTCTTAACTTAAAATGTCAAATGTTACATTTCTATTGCTTACCTGGCAAAGATGAATTCATACAACTCCAAATTTCAACCTGAAATTGGAATCACCAAAAAGCTTTTATGCACATAACTAGTTCCTATACATAGCAATATCTACAGAAAGTATGTACCGTTAATTTGACCATGGCTGATTCCATATAATCAATGTTCTAGGGCTAAGTTCTCATTCAGAAAAGAAAGAAACCTGAGATACAAAATGACTAATTATGCATTAGTCATAAGCATACAAATCATGTTTCCAAACACAGAGACAAAAGTGTCTGTTGAGTGATCTAAGGAAAATATGTCAGTCTGACTATTGATTTTTTTCCCCCTTCCACATCCAGATGCTACCATATCTTAAAGGTTCTTTCATGCAAGCTCCGGCTTTCTTGGCCTGACTTTGGAGCATTCCAAACACTGAAGACAACTCAAACATTGGAGATAATGGTCAGTTACCTGATTCAGAGACATAAGCAATATACTATATATATAGAGAATATGTCAGAAAATAGAAAAATAGGAGTAATATGTCATATATTTTCCCTTATCCCAAATCCAGTTATTCAAAATCTAAAAAAGTATAAGATCTAGTTATTACAGTTTTCATAAAATTAGTAAAAATATAAATAATAAATAAAATTCTAAATTATAGATAAAATACTATAGTGAAATTGAAAGACTGGAATAAATTCATATTTGCGATTTTTTTCACATACTAAAATAGGATAATAAAAGATGATAGATAATATTCTACCCTGTAATGTATATGAAGATTAAAAAGATCTACTTGTAACCTAACCTTATACTCTACCCACAAATTTCAATACTATTTGAAGTTTTGCTAGATCCCCAAATAATTCATTAGCTGGTTTCATTTCGATAAAATCTTCTGTAGTTACTAAGACTCACCATTGTTTCTGGACAATAATCTGGGGCTCGCTGTAGCAGATGTTTTAGTCGGGATTCACTTTTTGAGGAAAAAATCTATTTGAGAAAAACAAAGTTTTGTGGCATTTTTTTCTATACGAGAAAGAAAGTATAAAATGTATCATTTTCTAGATGTATTAGTTCTCTGAAATTATTTTTTAAGTAGAAGATTTCCACAATGATCAAAATTAAGCTGAAGTAACATAACTTAAAAGGTTTTTAAGTATGGGAAATAAGAAAGTCTAAAATCAGAAAGCCTAGACCCTTTTCTATCAACTGAAGGTAGAGAAAACTAGATTACTAACTTGTTGAGAATGGGGCTAGAGAGAGATTGAAAAGGAAGGTATCAGAAAACGAAGGAAAAAAGGTAAATTTATTCTAAAATTTTCTATAAATTGTTTTTATTTGAATAATGACAATTTAAAAATAAACAATGTCATACCAGTAATAATAGTGAAAATGAAATTTGTGAATAGCTTTATGGCACACGTTTACCATAAAATGTTGTGAAACAGGAACTAAGACAGTCTTTTTATTACATTTTTTATTGTAAAAATACTGTTCAGAAGGGTTATAGTTACATGAGTAAGGTAATGAATACATTTCCTATTGAGCATTGTTACCTCCTCCTTTATTTTTCCCCTACCATCTTAAGGCAGTGTTTTGATGCATGCATATCTATGTTTGTTGTGTGAGTGTGCACACGCACGTGTGTGCATGTGTACACATATGGACCCAGTATTAAAAGTTTGAACTCAGGGCCTTTTGTTCTTTTTCATTCAAGGCTGCCATTCTATCCACTTGAGCCACACCTCTACTTTCTGCTATTTGCTGGGTAATTGTAGACAAGAGTCTCTAGCATTTGTCTGCCCAGTCTGGCTTTGAACTTCAATCCTCAGATCTCAGTCCTATATAGGTAGGATTACAGGCAATGGTGCCTGGCTTCAAAGACACCTTTTAATACAGAAGCTAGGCACTGACAAGGTTCACTAACTAGCTCACTGTCATGCCAGAATTTAATTAATGCTATTACAATCTGGTATACCAGCAAATTATAAATCATAGCATATATCAGACAGATCTTCATGGTTACCTGAAGACAGTTGAGACTGTAAAATCCATGAATGCTAAGGATAATGAGAAAGGATTTAACTCCAGTTAGTTTATTTAGTAGCCATTTTCCCTCCAAAACTACTAACTATAATTAAGAAGCAAAATGAGCTAGAATATTACTTTCTATAACTTGCTAGTGAATTAGTACATTTAAATAATTATCAACAATCATGGTTAACATAACACCACAAAAACAGACAACTAGACACAATACCCTGTATGGGGAAGACTTTTCAAAACAAACAAACAAAAGGGGGATATGGAAAGAGTACAGGAGTTATAAATGAAACAAAATAGCCATGCTAATGTTAAATCTGAGTATGAAGATTCTATTTTTTTATCCTTGAATATAGTGGTAATATCTTTATAAAAGGAAAAATGAAAAAACTAGAAATGAGTAAAAGAAAGGCAACAATCCAAGACCAAAAAAAGGAATGAAAAAGAGAAAAAGAAACATGTGTCTCTGGGGGTGGGATAGGAAGAAGCATGCTTCTAAGCTCATGCCCTCATTCTTCAACTCTATCTCTTCTCAAAACCAATAAAACCAAAGACAAACAAAAAAAGCAAAAACTTCAAAACACCTGAAAGAGGTAAAAACAATGGAAAAGACAAGGAACTGAGATAATAAATTATATACTTTGAGTAAATGAACAAATATTTGGGTCTAAATGAGGCAGTTGTATCCCAGCGGCTAATAGTATGCACTGTGCAATCAGACACATGCAGATTTGAGTTCCCATTCTTAAAATCACTAGCTTGGGGACTTGGTAAGTTATTTAACTTTTCTATATCTCCTTATTTATGATATTACCTCCCTAAAGAGTTTGGTGTAAGAAAGGGACAAATGCACAGTTTACAACTAGAACACTTGAAAGAAAGGTAACTATGATCATTATTTATCTGCTAAGACTAGATAACATAGGATGATGAGAGGAAAGGAAAGCGTTATGACTGGGTATTACTGCACTAGAGTCGCTTTACAAAAGCTCAGCCAGGAAAATTCAAACCTCTAAAAAAGTCATAACAGTAGCACAATGACTATCCATACAGTATTCACTTAACACAATTCACATGTAATTAACATTTCAAAATTGCTTTTAACTCTCTTTATAATACATAAATTATTATTACCACTTGGATCAATTATTTTATAACTCATTATAGACATTATGATCATTTTTTCTCAAATCCTAGTATGTATTTTTTTTTTAGCAAAATGACAGTCATATCTAACCTCAATACAATGACCAAATTCAGGACCAAAATATGGATTGGCAAAATATTTTCTATTAATATCTACTCTATACTCATATTCCACCAATTAATTACAATAATGCCCTTTAGGGCAATTTTATTTTTCATTCCAGGATCCAATCCAGAATCATGCATTGCACTTAGCTGTCATGTATCTATTTTTTAGAATCTTAGTCTTTCTTTGTTTTTATAAGTAATGGATATTTTTGAAGAGTACAGGCTGTTGTTTTGAGGAATATCCCTCAGGCTGGGTTGCCTGATTGTTTCCTCATGATTCAGGTCACACATTTTTGTGTGACCTTTATAAATTACTGTGTTCCTCCTCAATGCTTCCCGTCAGCAGACACATGTCAGTTTGTCCTATCACTGCTGATAGGAACTGTGGTCCTATGGTAAAGATGCTTCCCAACAGATTTTTCCGCAACAATCAAACCTGATAAATAGTTACATAACTGATAGCTCCTACAATTATTGTCAAACTCACCTGTTCACATACATCACGGCACATTTGGTTATCCTTTGAATGACTACAACATAATGCACCTAAGGAGAAAAAATAAACATGTTATTCCATGATTAACTATCAGTGGATTATTCAATAGTTTCTTTTTTGGTGACAGGGTCTTGCTATGTAGCCCAGGCAAGTCTTGAACTCATGATCCTCAAAGCCTGTCTCCACCTCCTGAGAGCTGAGATTACAGACATGAATCACCACACCCAGCTACTCTATTATTCATTGTAACTTAACCTTCAATGAGTATCTATTACACTCAAAGGCTTCCCTACACCTTTTTTTTTTTGGTCGGTCACGGGTGAACTCTGGGTCTGGGTGCTGTCCCTCAGCTCTTCAACTCAAGGCAAGTGCTCTTGTGGCACTTGAGTCACAGCACCACTTCCAGTTTTCTGGCTCTTTATTGGAGATAAGAGTCTCACGGACTTTCCTGCCCAAGCTGGCTTTGATGATCCTCAGATCTCAGCCTCCTTAGTAGCTAGGATTACAGGCGTGAGCCACCAGGGCCTGGCTTCCCTACACTTAATGTTACATTTGGGGATATAGTCTTTGCCCAGTGAAGCTCCTAGTCTAATAGGGGAAACTGTAATGTAATAACATTAGTTACTATGTGCTTTCAATGTGCCAGAATTTTACACTAAACTTGTTTTTTGTACTATCTTATTCAATCCTTACAGCTGCCTTATAAACTACATTCTCTTGTCATACCTACAATAACAGTCACATGACGAAAAAATATTGAATTTTGTTTAGGAAACATTACAGAGAAAATAAAAGTCTGAAGATCCAAATTAAACCCAGGCAACAGTGGCTCCTGCTTGTAATCCTAGCTACTCAGGAAGCTGATATCTGAGAATTGTGGTTCAAAACCAGCCTTGGCAGACAAATTTGTGAGATTCTTTATCTCCAATTAAGTAGCAAAAAGCCAGAAATACGGCCAAAGTGGTAGAATGTCAGCCTTTAGTGAAAAATCCAAGTAAGAATGCAGGTCCTAAGTTCAAGGTCTAAAACCAGCATGTACAAGATGAAAATAAAGGGGAAAAGGGATGGGGAAAAGGCAAAGCAATAAAGGACCAATTATACATACACGAAATAGTACATTGAAAGCCTCTTGTCCAATAATATACAGTAATAAAATATAAAATTAACAGTGATAAAATACGTATATGTATGTTACATTATATTATAAACATATTTATGTGCATATACCAATATATGTGACATAGTCCTCCATCCAAGTAAAATCTAAACAATTTGAGAAAAAGCAGAGATTTTTGGTTGATAGTCCAATTGATATTGGGAAGAAATAACAAATGAATAAAAGAAATACTCTTTAGATCTTACAAATAAGGCTTTGAGTTTGAAACTGTCAATTGGCTCTTTATAAAACAATTTCAAGGTCTATGTATTACTGACATATTATAGTTTGGTCTCATAAAAGACTTGTAAGGGGGGGCTGGGAAGGTGGCTCAGTGGTAGAGCGCTTACCTTGCATGCCTGAGGCCCTGGATTCGATTCCTCAGCACCACATAAGCAAAAAGAAAAAAGCCGGAAGTGGCGCTGTGGCTCAAGTGGTAGAGTGCTAGCCTTGAGCTGAAGAGCTGAGGGACAGCGCCCAGGCCCAGAGTTCAGGCCCCATGAATGGACCCAAAAAAAAAAAAAAAAGACTTGTAAGGGCTACTTTTAGTACTCATTTTATGGGGAAAGGTTTTCTTAAGGTCTACATATTAAACTTGCAAAATTTTGAAGAACATATAAAAATCTCCCTACATTAAAAAAAAAAAGTGCCTTGTGCTGAATATATGGCTCAAGTGGTAGAGATCTAGGGGAACAAGCAAGCTGAGCATGCTTCATGCCAGAGCTCAATGAACTCTGGCATGGGAGTGGGGGAAGTATAAAAAGTATCTTAAATATATATCTATATATATTATATATGGCATACATATTGTGTATGTACACACACACATCCTTGCATTAATCTTTTTTTTTTTTTTTTGGTTGGCCATGGGGCTTGAACTCTGGGCCTGGGAGCTGTCCTTCAGCTCTTCAGCTCAAGGCGAGCGCTCTACCACTTGAGCTACAGCACCACTTCCGGTTTTCTGGTGGTTTATTGGAGATAGGAGTCTCACGGCCTCTCCTGCCTGGGCTGGCTTTGAACCGAGATCCTCAGATCTCAGCCTCCTGAGTAGCTAGGATTCCAGGCGTGAGCCACCAGCGCCCGGCTATCCTTGCATTAATCTTAAGAAGCTCTAATTTGAGGGAGGGCCTAAGCACTCATGGGACTTTCTCTCAGCAACCCTGCATTCTCTGCAAAGCCATACCAACCTAACATCTCCCTAAGACTGTCATGTCCCCAGTCTCATGAGAACCACAGAGAAGAAAAAAAAGGCTCCCTCATGTGACATTGATGTGCTCTTTTGAAGTGCTCTGAAGGTTGGCACTTTCTACTATCCCCTCACACAGAGGTCATATCAGAGCAAAAAATCCAGCTGATTTTCAGCAAAGATAACACACAGTAACATATGGTCCCAATAAACACAGGCTAAGCAAAAAGTAAACAATCAAGCAGACAGGAGTCTGATTTGGGCCTGGGGACTTTGGAAAAACAATTTGTTGGAGCAAAGGTCTATATAAAACAGAAACACATGATGTGTTACACTTAAAACCCTGATAACAGTCAGCAGTTTTATTATAAAGGCCTTTTTCCTATTTAATGATGAAGACCAAATTCATGTAAGTGACTTCTAGAGTTAAAATTTTAAAACAAACCAGGCACCATAGCTCATGTCTATAATCCTACCTACCCAGGAAGCTGAGATCTGAGAATCACAGTTCGAAGCCAACCCAGGCAGAAAAGTCTGTGAGACTCTAATCTCCAATTATATCACAGAAAAAGCCAAAAGTGGTGCTGTGGTTCAAGTGGTAGAGTGCTAGCCTTAAGCAAAAAAGGAGCTCAGGGACAGAACCCAGACTCAGAGTTCAAGCCTCAGGAGTGGCAAAAAAGAAAAGAAATTAAAATAACTCTTTTTGGTTTAAAAGAAAAAACACTACAAAATTGGAAAATAAAGAGCAAAGGAAAACTGATCTGTTAACTCTCATTGTCATAATACATATGTATATATGGTACTTTTTTTAATGTAGGGAAATTTTTTTTGTTTTTGTTTTTGGGTCCGGTTGTGGGGCCTGAACTCTGGGCCTGGGCGCTGTCCCTCAGCTCTTCAGCTTAAGGCTAGTGCTCTACCACTTGAGTCACAGCGCCACTTCCGGCTTTTTTCTTTTTGCTTATGTGGTGCTGAGGAATCGAACCCAGGGCCTCAGGCATGCAAAGCAAGTGCTCTACCCCTGAGCCACCTTCCCAGCCCTGGGGAAATTTTTATAAGTTCTTCAAAATTGTGTAAGTTTAATATGTATCTGTATGTATCTGTTGACTTTCTGGTGTGTTTCTTTCTAGTCTTTCCAAAAGCATTATTCTGATTTTTAAAAAGGAAAAATGATAATAAGTCCTTTCCCCATTAAAGTATTCCACTATAATAGTATACTTCCTCCCTTGTGAGGACTGCCAACTTCCATAAATAAGCCTCTCTGCTCCATTACATTTTCTACATTGATTCTTCCACTACCCTCCCCCAACATTTTTTCTAAAATCAGCACCAATTAGTTGCACAAGGGGTTTACATTTTGGTATGTCCATAAATACATGCAATGTATTTGATCAGACTTCACACTTGATCATTTACTGCATTAGTACACATTCTGCCTTTTAAAAAAAAAACATTACAATATTTAACACCGCCTATTTTTGAAGAATCAAAAGTCTACAAATAGACATCAATTCATGTGCCTTCATTAAGGATGGAAGGAGAAACCCAAATGCAATTAAAGGTCTTTATCTTTTTTAGAGCAATTAAAATGGATTAACTGGGTCATTCAACTATCACATAAGGAAAAAAACACTCTAATGTTTTTAACAAGGCTAGAATGCTAAAAATGTTTTGTTTTTATAATTTGATTTTAATTGTTCTTAAAGAAAAAAATTAAAATTCTGCTCATTCCCATAAAGTGAGATTAAATAAAAGTAAAATTGTTCAAAACAAAACTTGACAGTAACATGACAAAAATGAAAAGCACAAGTTTTATCCTCATTAAAGACAGAGATGTCATATCTTGAAGTCTTATTCCAAGAGTCTGTAATCATAAATATCAAAAGTTGACAACTAAAGGACACATGTGTTGGCTTTAAGAAGGAATTGGCAAAGTCTAGAAATATGCAAGCAGAATTATCCAATAATTTGAAACATCAAGGTTTGGCAGCAGGTTTGGGCCACGTGTATACTAAACATAGGCAAGTATACAGGAAGCACATACTCAAGCCACATGAAGAAATTTACATTTAAAAAAATACACACACTATCTTAAAAATAGGAAATACCCACAAATGGCCAGTGGCTCAGGCCTGTAATCCTTGCTACTCAGAAGGCTGAGATCTGAAAATTGCAGTTGAAAGCCAGCATGGGAAGGCCACTCATTTCCAATTAACCACCAAAAAGCTGGAAGTGGAGCTATGGCTCAAATAGTAAAATGTTAGCCTTGAAGAAAAAAAAATAGCTCAGGGACAGCACCCAGGCCTTGAGTTAAAGCCTTGGGTATGGCTCAAATAGTAAAATGTTAGCCTTGAAGAAAAAAAAATAGCTCAGGGACAGCACCCAGGCCTTGAGTTAAAGCCTTGGGTATGTACACACACACACACACACACACACACACACACACACACACACACACACAGCACCCAGGCCTTGAGTTAAAGCCTTGGGGTATGTACACACACACACAATTATAAAATTTTTGAAGTTAGAGTTTTTACCAGAGAATCCTCTGAAGAGCTATATTCAATATTCAATTTGGTTAATACAAAGCCATTCTTTTCCTCTCTTAAGCAAATGAAGATTCCTTCTAATTAATGTTTCTTAAAGAATAACTAGAACAGAAAATGTGTATAAACAAACAAATCTATATTCATCTCACACCACTGAGA